CTAGAGAGGATTAAGCGGTGTATAGATGATGGATAATGGATGGATTTTGTTTACTGTAGAACGAGCCCTTCTTTGTGTTGTTTTTGCTAAATTCAAACTTACAGGCTCAGTGTAGAAATCTCTTTCAGGCATTTTTTGACCGATTGAAACTGTCATAACCTGGAGCATTCTCAATTGACAACCGTCCACTAGTATGTATACATGCTGTCCTAGTCGATGCCAGTTACTCTTTAAAACACGTGAGCTCTTGTCGGACGTCATGAAGTGTCGTATAAGTCTCTGTCATGGTGCCTCTTTACTTGCTAAACTCCCACAATGCTCTCTGCTCAACAACATGAGCTTCCTCTAGTCTGAGTGACGCCTCCTCTGGTCTCGACAGCGTTAAACAGTGAGAGGCTCCACCTGGTGGAACAACCAGGTACTACAGCTGATGTACAACACATTTTGTTAACATGTATGTGGAGCATACAGGTTTTCCTCATCTTTTGGAGCTCGTGGAGCCTCAGTACATCCAACCATCTAACACTACATTTCAGACAGTGTCCTTCTGAAGTTTCACAAGGACAATGGTATCGGGTTGGGACCAGCAGATAGTAAATACTGAATGACTCTGATCGGATCGGGGCCAGAAAACTCAGTGGTGTTCACGACCTCTTAGTTAAGATGCATCCCAACTGCATTTCTATTTTGACAACATCTTGGGCTTTGGAGAACATTTAGCAACATTTTTCACCATTTTTCTGCCATTTTATATAACAAACAACACATCAGTTATTCAAGAAAATAACCAACCGATTAATATGAAAGTCAGCCTATCAAATGACTCGGGGACAACAATCTAGGCTGGGATGTGAGATTGGCTCACTGTATAGGATTTAAAGCGGCCTTTTAGCAGAAATTGAATGTTTTAATTAGTGTTTAATCACTAGAGGGCGGCGATAGTGCTCGTACTTAACGTACAAAGAGAGCGGATCGAAGTTTGTTCAGGTTTAATGGCAAAAAAATGCACCAAAATGGCACCTTAAATTCAAAATGGTGGCCATCCTGTTTGACTTTGGGTATGACTCCGAGGATGCATCGACGGACTAAACTTGGTACATGTCAGTGAAATCTGATGTCTTTTCTTTGGTGTGTGCACAGTTTACTGCACCTTCAACCCCTTTAATGATAATAATGAGGTCCTACAGATGCAGGAGGGCCTCTGCGCTGCTCGAGCCCAATGAGCAGCCTGACATTTATCCTGATTAATGATCACGTCGAGGCAAACAGACCATCTCAAAGGTCACAAGCTGTAAAGGCCAGAAATCTGAGTCCATTTAGGTCCATCAGCCGACACGTTTCCTCCCCGAGCGTCCTCGAGTTTCCCTCTGACCTGCTCACCTGCTGGGATTTACGTAAGCCTCCGCTGGGATTAGATAATAACAATGTCCTTCTGTCTCCCCGTTTGACCTCAGAGGTCGTTCAGATCGTTTGCAAACGACGACCGCCATGTCATGGCCAAGCACGCCAGCGTTTATCCAGCACCGGAGGAGCTGGAGGCCGTCCAGACGCTGGTGTCCACCGTGGAGGGAGCCCTGAAGAAGGTCTCCGACTGGATGGACGGCCTCAACAAACCCTCAGGGAAGACGTCCGCCGCCAACGAAGCTGCAGACAACACAAAGGAAGAAGACGCTGCCGAGACAAAGTACGTCTAGCTACTTGTTTTTATGTTTCATATCTTGTTTTTATTGGGGTGCAGCAGATTCATTACGCATAAAACCTGACAAATCTGACAGAAGGTCCGACCAGACCTCCATCAGAACCAGTAGAACAGTAACTTTAGTTTATTTAATGAAGCCAAGCAGAGTTTAACCTTCATACTACGAATGTTTTCACAGTTATAGGCCCTTAAAATACACAAATTTCTCATTTTTTAATGGATTTTTTCCCGTCATTTCTGAGCCTCAGAACTTCATCAGTCCAGCAGACAGACACATGACATGTTAGGATTAAGAATACATCTGAGTTCTGGTAGAAACTGACACCAGATCAGTTGCTTAAAGCAAGCTATAGCTGAGAGGCTGATCTTCTCGCTTTGTGTTGCTTCCTTCCTTTTCTCTGGCTTCAAGTCATTTTGGACAGTTTTTGTGTCATTTTGAACAAGTTTCAAGAGACTTTGGAAAAGTTTGAAATTGTTTAGGATGAGTTGTGAGTTATTTTGGAGAAGTTTCAAGATATTTCCAACAAGTCTTGAATCTTTTTGGACACGATTTAAGTCATTTTTTTCATTTTGGACAAATTTGGAACAGATTTTTAAGACATTTTGGACACATTTTGAATTGTTTAGAGCAGGGTTTGAGTAATTTTGGACACATTGTTTTGCCATTTCAACAAATTACAAGACATTTTGGGCAAGTTTTGAATGATCATGGACATTGTTTGAGTCGCTTCATCAGTACAGCAGACAGACACATGGCATTTTAGAATGAAGAACACATCTGAGAAAATGAACAGAAACTTGATGTTTTCTTCAGACTGTGACTCCTGGATGGATGTAAAACTGATCTGGTGTCAGTTTCTACCAGAACTCAAATGTGTTTCTCATCCTAACATGTCATGTGTCTGTCTGCTGGACTGATGAAATTCTGAGGCTCAGAAATGATGGAAAATGTCCAATAAAAAGTGATAAATCTGGATCTTTGAGGGCCTGTAGCTCTGAAAATATTCACAGTTTTAATGTAAAACTTCATTAAATACACTAAAGTGTAGATAAAACACAGCTGATGGTGAGGAGGTCGGGGGGAACCTCTGATTAATTGTTCCTGGACCGATCCGGTGTTTAATGACAGTCCAGTTCTACATTGGACTGCTTCATGTTTTCGCTGTGAACGATGAAGCGGATTTATCGCTTGTTCTGGTTTATTTTCGGCCGTTTGCTCCGCTCACCTCCTGATCGTTTCCCTCATAAACCCGCTCCGTCGTAGATCTTCTTCGGGGGCCGAGGTGTGATGATTGGATGATTAAACTCGCTCGACAAAGACTCGTAAATTCTCTGCGTTTGGCTTAAAGCCCGAACATCGGCGCAGGTTCTGCATCAGCAAAGCGTTCCCGGGCAGATATAGTGCCGAAGCAGGTTTCTGCAAATAGAAGAGCGGGAGGAAAATCTGCTGGATCAAATTATTTCTTATCCAGAATGTATTTACGGCTCCAACACCTGAGTGAACAAACCAGGCTGCGTGATCTTAAACCTCTGAGCTCTGAGGAGTTTCTGGGCATTTTAAAGAATCTTTTATTTGTTCCCATCGTATGTTTCTCTGCAATATAAAGTCCTGCATCTCAGTGGAAACAGAATGAAGCAGGACAAAGAACTCAGAAATGTCTGTTGTGCAATATAAGATAGTCAGAACAGCATAAATCATAAAACCAGAAAGAAAAAACTTGAATGAATATTTTGATTATTTATTCTACAAAAGTTTTGAAAAATGGTATAAATGTGTCCAACATTTTGTTAAAGAGCCTTCCAATGTTATCAGTGAACTAAAAATGCGGTTCCACATGCTGCAGACATTTAACTATTTCTTTTTTCAACTTATTTCCATGCTTGTCGTCTGCAGTTCAATGATAATAATAATAATAATGATAATTGATCAGATTTATACAGCGCTTTTCTAGACACTCAAAGACGCTTTACACTGTCAATTATTCATTCACACACATTCATTCTGGTGGTGGTAGCTACGACTGTAGCCACAGCTGCCCTGGGGCAGACTGACAGAGGCGTGGCTGCCATTCTGCCCCTCCGAGCACCACCTCAAACAATCCATTCATACGCATTCACACCAGGCAAGGACACAACGACCATGAAACAGGTTACAGGGCGGAATCGAACTGCCGACCTTCCGATCATCGACCGACTCGCTCTACCACCTGAGCCACACAGTTCAACCGAGGAGCTTCTAAATTTTTGTCATGCAACCGTTAGTTACAGCAGAGTCACTGATGGCTTCACTTTTGGGCCTCAAGTTGTCAACTTTTTTGTTTTTTACAGAATCTAACTACAGTAAACAACCTATTTTTGGCGGTTTTTTTTTCTTTTTTTTAAAGCGAGACATATAGAATAAAGTGAACTTATTTAACCATGTAAAGGCTCATCACACCAGCTGAAACTTTTCTGTCTGTTTTTTCCGTACTTCCAGCTCTGATAGCTGATAATTAACTTATTTTTAGCCATTTTTGTAAAGTGGTTTTTGCAACCTGTCAGCAGAATGAAAAAATAAATACATTTTTGTTTTTGGGGTCCATGTATGTTCTGTTTAAAATTATGTTTTAAACACTTTAATGCAGATATTTGCCTCTAAAAGTCAGAGCAGGTTGAACATCGCTAAAAGTAGGCGATGAAAATATGTGAAAATATCTGCAGTTGTAGCTCAGATGTGTTTAAAACAAGACAGATGATTCAGGTTTATAATAATAAATAAATCAACGAGAGAAAATGAAATTAAAATTCAAGTAAAATCAGCAAAAGCTTTCAGATGAAAGTAGGTTTTACTGCAGAGCGTCTCCTGGTTTCTGCCTAAAGTGTTTTTCTAACAAACTCCTGCTCACTAAACAGTTGAATCAGGTTTTTATTCACTGAATTGGGTTTTTAAATGCTAATTTTATGGCTTTTCTGTTTTCTTTTCTGCAGCCTGTTGAAGGACTTTGTGAAAATAAAGTTTATTATTGTTGTAAAGTTTTAGCTCAGATGAGTTTAAAGGAAGAAACACATTGCAGAAATGATTCAGGTTTAAATAATAAAGAAAATAACTAACTGCTAATAAAAACTCAAGGCTCCTCATGAAGCTCTTGATTTTACTTGACTTTAAATTCCTTTTGAACTGTCGTTTTTTTCTCTTTTCTTTTTGTTTTAACCTTTTCAACACCATCTTTGCATGCTGACAGCCTGCTTAAATCTGGTTTTTATGCCTAATATGTGATCATTTTATGTTTTTTCTGTGTTACTCTGCAGCCTTTTGTGATAAAAGAGTTTAATACTGTTCTAAACAACCCACAGCAGCTCAGCCAGAGCCGCTCACAGGCTGCAGATTGTGTGTTTTCGGCCTGTCTAAACCTTCCCTGGCTGTCCTCCATGTCCCTCCGTCAGGCCCGGTGCTGCCTCGGTGCTGTGCGGGGTGACGCGTGTCGGCCTGGTGGCCAAGGGCCTGCTGATCAAAGGCGACATGGACCTGGAGCTGGTTCTGATGTGCAGGGAGAAGCCCACCAAACTACTGCTGTACACCGTCAGCGCCAACCTGCCGCTGCAGATCCAGGTAGGACAACCGAGTCACTCTACATCCAAAACGAGGCTTTAAACACGGCGAGGCGAGCTTCACGGCGGAAAAACACTCGTCCGCCGAGGACGAGCAGAAGTTGTTGATGTGCGATGAAAGCTCAGGAGTTTGTGCGGTGACATTGAGACGAGCCGACACCCCGAGGAGCCGCGACATGATGGAAATAATAAGAATAAAATAGTCAGAGCAGCAGCTCCGACTCCTGCAGCAGATGCCAGAATATATAAACAGCAGCTTATACGCATACAAGCAGCACAGCGTTGGTCGAATGCATCAAGAGTTGAGCTTTTCAGAGTCCAGAACACACACTGTGATGCTTTCAGTGCAGAAAACTAATCAGTCTCACAGGAATCAGAAATTGATTGTATTAAATTATATATCTGAATTTTTTTAAAGTCTGAATTCAGCTCATCAAAAGTTCCAATAACGTATTTTCACTTTCGTTGAAACTGAACAACTTTCAAAATTTTCAGAATCTGGTGAGACCGATTAGCTTCCGTAGAAAACACCGTATTTTCAAAATTTAAAAAAAAAAGAAGCCATAAAGAAAACATTTGATTCTGTCAGATGTCGTTAAAAGAGCTGAAGATGTTGCTCATCACGTTTGGAGATGAGAAAGTTTTGCTGTGAAGGCAAACTACAGATTTTTAATGAAATAGATTATATACGTATCATCTGTAAGTCCAGTTACATACTGCGTCATGTTTGGATCAAAGTTGACTTGTTTGTGATTTGCAACCTAAAACTAAGTTCTGTAAAATATTATGTCTGCGTTTTGAGAATTTCTCACGTTTTCACCCTAAAAAAAGTCCAATTCTACTGATGTTAGAGCCTCAAAAGATGGAGGTGTGTCAGAAAAGTTCCAGGATTGGTGTCATAAAAGATAGATTTCAAACCCAAACTGTAAACTACGAGACCATCAACCAGCTCGTCTACAAAGAGATCCTGCAGCGTTTGCTTCGTCCAGAGTTGTGGCAGGACCAGTCGTGGCTGCTTCACCATGACAACGCGCCTGCTCACGACACCCTGAGCATCCCACAGTTCCTGGTCGAGAATAACATCTCCGTGATGGAGCAACCTCCCTACTCACCCCACCTGGCTCCGTGGGGTTGTTTCCTCTTCCCCAAACTCAAAGGGGTCATCAAGGGGACCCGTTTAGAAGACGTGGACGACACCAAGATGGCTGTGACGACGGAGCTGCGGAGGATCCTGGAAGAATCCTTCCAGGACTGTATGGTGGCGTGTCAGTGAAGGCTGGGGAAGTGTGTTGGACTCCAGGGGGATTACTGCGAGGGGAAAACTTGTAATTTGTATTTGAAATATATCTTTTGTGACTCCAGTCCTGCAACTTATCTGACACACCTCGTATGGGTCCATCCATATATGTACACTTACAGGAAGTTTATGGGCCTTAATACCACCACAAAATATTAATTCTTGTCAATTTTGGGTCATTTTGGACAATCCTTATCTTATTTTGAGCAAATCTTTGGTGAGTCTGGATGATTCTGTGTCATCCTGGACAAACATTTAGTCATTTTGGCCAAATTGTGAGCCGTCTTGGACAGATTTCTTGCCAAAATACTGCTGGAAACTCTTCTGTCTGTGTCCTCACCACATTTCAAGATTGTTGGAGTTAAATTTCTGGAGGCATTGGAGACTTAAAGTGGTTTTCTGGGTGAAACATTTCTTTGAGGGTGAAAATAGGGAAAATTTCAGGTGTGAAAACATATAAAATTGTAAAAATTCAGCCAAAATATGTGACAGAATTTAGTTTTTAGTCCCAAATACCAGATAAAAATGACACTGCTGTCAGTGAGCTCGCGGGCTTGTTGTTGTCGTATCTGATTGAAACAACAAAGAAAAGCCGAGTGAGTCCCGGCGGTCCGAAGCGTGGGGGGAAATACTCCACCTCAGACAAATCAAGTGTGGTCTCATCAGCAGCAGCACATCAGCTCCACTTCACATCACCTCCTCTCCTGCCAACTAAAAACACTCCTTTCATCTGCGTTAAAAGAAGAAGAAACACCTCGGCCCTCTCCACGGCGTCTCGGCTCCATTCAGGCTGCAGCTTTGTGCTGGTAATGACTTTAAAACAGCTCAACCCAGCGCTGAATTCATTAGGACGCCGGGAAACATCGCTACCGCAGGATCTAATGCATGCAGTATCTGTACTCCTATCAATAGTACCCTCCAGACTACTAACACTGTCATTCACTGCAGTTTAATTAATGCATTTTCTGTTTGATACACTGGACTTTGTTTGGATTCTAATTTTTCTATTGACACGTACTACGGCAAAAAAAAAAAAGAAGAAAAAGAAACACATTAAATTCTCTAAATTCAGCCCAAGTGTTTGACAGACTCCTAAATGGCTCCTAAATAACAAATACGTCACTATTTTGTAAAAATACATAAAAACTGGAACCTTAAATTGATGTTAGAGCCTCAACAGTTGGTGAAATGTCGACCAAAGACTGTATTTTAGTAGAAACATGGATCCATCCATATATAGACACTTAGAGGAACTTTCTAGGGCCATAATAGCACTCTTAGCTGAAATATTAAACTTTTTTCCCCCCCATTTTTAAGGGCTACTAATGAAAGATGTGGCCCAAATTACTCAAAAAATGTCTAAGAACTTAGAATTAGTCCAAATTGACCCACAAATGCCCAAAAATGACACACAAAAAAATGTCCAAAACAACTTAAATTCCATCCAAATTGATCCGAAATTGTCCAAATGGAATAATATTAGCATCGCTGTGCATCAAAATGTCTAAAAACTGGAACCTTGTCTTGTCAAACCTTCCCCACATCAGATTCTACTGATGTTAGAGCCTCAGCAGTTGATGAAATGTCGACCAAAGATTGTATTTTAGTAGAAATATGGATCCATCCATAGATAGACACTTAGAGAAACTTTCTGGGAACACAGTACCAACCGTTATGCTTTTTTTTTTTAAGGTCGAATAGTTAAATTTGTTCTTTGCTGGAGCCGTTTGATCATCTAGATCTGTGTCCTCACCAACTTTTATAGCTGGAGTTATATTTATATTGGGATTTATATTTTACGGAATTTTGAACCTTCAAAATGGCTTCCTGCTTAAGATGTTTTGGGGTTGTTGTTTTTTTCTTTGAGAGTGAAAATAGAAAAATTCCAGCTCTGTCAACATCGGAAATTCTCAAAATTCTGGCAAAAGATATTTCACAAAACATAATTTTGGATCCCAAAATCCCACCTTCATTTGAAATGTTGCCTTTTTTTTTTCATTTAAAGTGCCAATAATTAAAAACTTTGGCCTCTTTTGGAGCCTTTCAATCATTTAGATCTACTGTCTGCATTGTCACCAAAGCAGGAGTTAGACTTCTGGAGATATTAAACTCTGAAAATACCAAAAATTCTCACTCATGAAATTCTCTAAATGCTGCCTAAATATCTTACAGACGTTAGTTTTTGTCGATAAATAATAAGAAGTGAACCTGGAACTAAATCTGAAAAATTCATCTTGCTCATTTTCAGACATTATTTTTGGTTTTGAGGTTTTTTGTGTTGTGTATTTGTATTTTTTCTTTTTGCCTTTATGATACTTTAATAAGCACATTATTCAGATGTGTTATGAGAAATGTGAGCAGGAAAAGCTTAACAAAAGCAACAATTCTACAAAGATTTAACTCGAAACGTGTAAAAGTTGTGCATGAATCCGGCCTGTTGCCTCTCAGGGTTTCTATTTTAACTACATTTGTCAGCTGTTTTCTGACTCAAATAGCTTTTCGACAGAGCAGCAGGTAGCATCCACTCAGGCTTTATTTTACACCTGAAGCCCAGACTGAGGTATAATGTTACCTCTACGCTCCAACAACCCTGAGGTGAGTTTTAACATCCCGCCTCAAAGTCTGAGTTAAATAAATAATCTCACCAGAGGATCGTCTTCTTCACGTGGGTCTCCGGCTAATGCTACCTCAGCGTGCATCCCGCGGCCCTCGTCTCCGTTAATTACCTGCCGTAGCCGCCGTTCGTGCTTCATCATCAAGGGAGGAAGCCGTTTGAAGCTCTCATTTCCTGGGCCAAGCCGGCAGAGATTGACAGGCGGCGGGGTGATGGATGGGGTCATTTCTCGCCGAGACGAGATAGAGAGGATTGCACTTGAAAACATGCCACTGAAGGTAGCGCGGATCTGGAGGAGAAAAAAAACAAGATAGTTTGGCATGCTGGGAATTGGCTGGCAATAACAACAGGGGTGTAGACTGGATGAAATGAGGAGGAAAGCTGCATGTAAACACCACTGTTTGGGCCTTTTTTGCTGCTTTCATCGGACTGTTCAGTGCTGAGAGCAAAAAAATAATGCTGTGTTTTGGAGTTTTCTTTTTCTCTTTTTCACAATTATTTCTCACGGCACCTGTATGCAAACCCATAGATGATGAAACAAAACCCACTACTCAGTCTCAATAACAGTGGCACAAACAAAAAAGTCTCATCAACATTAAGACCTGCAACATAATGACTCATATACCTCACTAATCCATCAGTGCAACAACAGAGTGATGCCATGTCCTTCTCTTTTTTTTTTTTTTTAACAAATTCACTCATTAGTCTCTAATCCTGTCTGTTTTGGGGTTTTTTCCGGTGGTTATTAATAATGTAGGATCAATGAAAGCCAAGTTTCTAATTAAAATCCTGCCAGGAAAGGCAGCAATTGTGCCAAATGAGCTCCTTGAAACGCTTTAAACCCATGAAACCAAGCTGCAAATTCCAGGGCTGAAAACTGAAGCCAAGGCTGAAGTGCCAAAAACTGCAGTTCTGCAAACGCTCCACTAGAGGCTGCTCCAAAAGTCATAGACGTCCATGTTAAAATGTCAAAGTTTACAGCAGGAAGAAAGTTGTTTATAGGCTGGTTCAAAAGCCTAGTTGGGTGTCTGTTGCTAAGTTACCTTTTTGTGGCAAATGTACAGGGGATGAGTTTTAAAATGACTCCCACGTTTGAACTACATTAAGTATTTGTACCGCTGCCTCAGCTTCATCCACCTCTTTGCTTATCCTTGGATTAGTCTAGAGTTAGTTAAATACACCGCCAGTTTCTCCTGGTTGAGTTGTGGTTACTGGTGATGAGTGGAAGTGACTGAGCAGGAATTCGGTCAGAATTACAACAGACCGACTGCTGTTTGGTTTATAGTGCAGCCAAACAGAAATTCTGTCTCTTTATTAAGGATGCCAAACAGCCAACTTCGTATTTGACTACTTCACAATAAAAGCTACATGCCTACCTGCCTACGTACCCCCCTACATGTGTAGCTGCCGAGGCATGTACCTACATCAAAATTACTTCCAGTCTTTTTAACCACCTATTTAGCTACCTACTTTCCATCTACATATCTGTTTATCTGTTTAGCTGCCTGCCTACCTACCTTCCAAACTAAGTTACTTATCAAGCTACCTCAGCACCTACATACCTACCTGTCCTGCCTACTTACTTTAGGTACTGTCTACCCACCAACTTACTTACCTAGGTATGTACCCAGTTATTATTTTACCTACTTACCTACCTACCATCCCATCTGCCAACCTGTCCACCTACCTACCTACCCACCATCCCATCTGCTTGCCTGTGTATCTACCTACCTAACCGCCTACCAACCAACCTACCTACCTACCTAGCTATCTTTGTGTCTACCTACCTACTGTCCCATCTGCTTACCTGCATATCTACTTAGCTACCTACCTTTGTATCTACCTACCTAACTGCCTACCTACCTACCATCCCATCTGCCAACCTGTCCACCTACCTACCTACCATCCCATCTGCTTGCCTGTGAATCTACCTACCTAACCGCCAACCAACCAACCAACTTACCTATCGAGCTACCTTTGTACCTACCTACCTACCTACCTACCTACCTACCTACCTACCTACTGTCCCATCTGCCTACCTGCCCATCTACTTAGATATCTAAGCACCCACCCACCTACCTACATCCCTACATACCTAGTTACATACCCAGTTATCTTGGTATCTCCCTACTGTCCCATCAGCCTACCCATCCATCTACTTAGCTACCCAACCACCCACCCACCCATCTACCTCCCTATCTATCTAGTTACGTACCCAGTTACCTACCTACCTACCTACCTACCTACATACCTACCTACCTACCTACCTACCTACCAACCTACCCATTTATCCCACAAATAGGTTTAATTAAGTCTCATATCTCTAAACGGCATCAGAAAACAGCGAAATAAACACAATAAACAAACTCGAAGTATAACCAGACTGTGTTATCGTGCTAATGGAATTCATTTTGTGGAGTATTTACAGCAAATTAAAACAAGATCAATAAACTTCTTATTAGAATATGATGAACTGGAAAATTAAGAGTAGCAGCCTGTTTCAGAGAACAGTATGAGCCTCTCTGCGACTTAATCAACTGTATTTATGTGCATATCTTTTATATTATTCTCTCTGTATGACTGTTAAAGTGATTTTACACATTAGAGGACCTTGTTGAGTGAGCCTCATTCTTTACAGCCAGTGTTGTGATATTTTTAATTAATCGCGCAGCCCTGCCTTGCAGACAATGACGGACGACAAATACGAAGTGCGGTCGAGCGTTCCCGAGGCAGCCATCCAGGTGTGCAGCACCAAAGACCCTCAACTCACCCTGAAGATCATCTTATCCTCCTTAGCCATGAGGGAGGATCATGGCACCACAGAAGAAGAAGGTACCGACTCCTCCTCCCCTACTTGCCAAGTTTCTATTTGACTTTCACATGACAACAGAAGGCTGAAAAGGGGAACGTAGAGTTAGAAAAGTGCTGCGAAACCCGATCCAAAAAGTGGGAGGCAGTGTGGGGAGCAAATTGTGCAGGATGATACATGGAGAGGGCTGAAAGCTGAGAGGAGAACAGGGCAAAAAGGAGAAGGGATGATATGGATCTGGGTCAAGTGTGGTGGAAATAGCAGATGGCCGGGGAAGGATGATTTCCGCAGGGGGAAGTGTTGGGTTGGGATTGACGAAAAAGGAGACGCCTGTCTCAGGTGTCCGCTCGTATCATCCTGCAACTCCGAGAAGATTCAGTTGTTGTTCTTGGACAGATGCATTAAAAACAGACATTCCAGCAAAGTAATACCTCACAAACAACTCGGTTAACTTGCCCCCCGTCAGGTGTCTGTACTGTAAGTCAAGAGCTGACGTTTGCCGTTGGTGGTTTCACTTTGTTTGTTTTCCCCCCTAACAAATTAAAAATGAATAAAAGTCGAGTCGGGAACTGAAGAGCTGCCATTACAGAGCAGCGAGTCCCGTTGTGGTTTCCGCTCCCACTGGGAAAGATTGAGTCAAGCCTTCACAAAAGGTAGAAAAATGGATTCTGCCGAGCGGGAGAGAAGCTGCTCCGATGCACAGCTGTTGAGCGCAGAGTCACAACAAAGGGAGTCATTTTTCCTTCAGGTTCAACATCCTGTCAGCACAAACCAGGACACCGTTCTGTGTTTTTTCCTTTGTTCTCTTGTCTCGCTCGGGCTCGTTAGACGTTGTGAAATCCCGTAAACAAGATCGTCCCTCTAAGTCTCAGTTAGCAAGAGCAGGAGAAACTGTCCTGACAGGGTTTTGTACGCTCATAATTAGAATAAAATGATCTAAATAGACGACGACGGGGGAGTTCCCTTGGAGAAACACCTCGTTTAATGTAGCTCTGTGTTGCCTGGTCTGGGTTTCAGCAGCATTTTTCCACACTGCTATCGAATCTCCAACTGAATCTTTTTATTAGCGACTTACAAAAAAAGGTTTGAGCCCAGCGTTTCTTCAACCAGCTGAAATTATAAATGTGAAGTCAAACATTTAACTTGCCTCGTAGCTTAGCGAGCCCATATTCAGCTTTTTGTGTTCTTCCCTTTCCTTTAGCGTGTTGTATCGCTGCTTTTTGTGCATGTAAACGTTCAAAGTCGATGCCAAAGACAGTTATATCTCCCTGAAACACCTTCTTTAAAGTCCAGGCTTTTCCGTGAACAGCTTTGGAACGATACGGTTCATGTCCGCAGGATCCGTCATTTCTACACCGCACAATTAATGTCTGTTTAAACAGCCGTGTGGCGCATTTCGGTAGCGCTGCGCTGCGTTTCATTTGCATAAATTTGCAGTCTGGGCTGCTTCATGCAAGTCAGGAGCTTCTGGAAATGTGAAAACAAGCAGAATCGTGAGCTCGTAGGGTATCATTTATCATCTGTTTGTTCACTTCATGCCCGTGCGTCTTTGTTGTCGGGGAAACTACTTTGTGTTAGTGGAGTAACTTTCAATTAGCTCAGTGTGTTTGTGTAAAGGTTGCATGAGGTAGAAGGCTTTTTGTCTTTGGAAACTTTGACTCTTTCTTCATTTCTTGCATGGTGTGGACAGACGGTTAAACTAGTATGTATACTGATCAATGATAGGATTTCTGTCTGTTTGGTATTAAAGCTGGTACATTCTCCTTTGAGAATCTTGACAAACTTTACTATTCTACAGATTTTATACGATCTTGATCGTTGACTAGATCTTGTCTCGACTTTCATGGCTCCTCCTTTAACTGCCAGCTCTTAATGAAATTTCAGAAAGTGGAAATTGCAATCTGGAAGTGCTTTGATATCTTTTTATAGCCCTCCTCCTGTTTGTAGGCATTAATTAGCTTCATTTTCAGACCCCAGGGTTGTTAAGTGGTACCACAAGGTCTGAAGAGTCAGAGGATTTATCAGTTTAGGTTTAACAAGTTAATGCAGGTTTGGAACGAACTTTTGTTGTTTTTTACATACATGAAATACAAAGTTCAACATTTAAAGAAGGGCACTTTGATGTCTGTTGTTTGTGTATTTACATCTTTACACCTGAAAAATCAACTAAATGTCCAGACAGCTGTATACTTTTATAATTATTTCTTCCTAAACATTGATCATAAAAATCAGAAATACGACCAAATCTTTGCTTAGAATCCTTTAACTGAAGTAAAACCAGCCTTTAAATCTTTAGCTGTTTGTCTCATGTTCAGGCTGTAGCTGCAGGTTATTAATTAACGAGGTGTTTCTTCCTTGTTTGGAAACTAAAGGTGACACGTGGGGTTTTCCTGAGCCAAACAAAGCATATTTTAACTGATCTGTATCTGTACAAACCTAATTCGATCCTTTGTTTAAGTCATAAAGGGAGGACACAATTAGTAGCAGGAAGTCTGGGAGGCAAATTTCAGCAGCGTTTCCAGTTCATAATTAATGAGTTGATAACATAAACTGAGCACCATGGATATATGCCCTGTGCTGCTGTTTCAGTCAGCAAATACATGTTTTGACTGCAAAGGTGGCGCTATTGCACACACGAACACTGTCCTAGTCTATCCTGGTTTGATTTAAACCTATTAGTGGTCATTAAGCATCACAGAAGTCTTTGTCATGGTGCCCGTTGCTCGCTAAAAGTTCAACACTGATAGATGTTATTAGTACTGTTGAAACCCAGCCCAATCGGTGCTGCCTGATGAGGGCTCTTCAGGGATGTTGAATGTGCTGAGTGATCCATACTGGTCTAACTGGTTCCCCCAGCTTTTTGTACCTCCTGTCGCTTGGGTCTGCTCACTAACTGTTGGTTTTCTTGTTGTAGCTTGGAATTTTAGTCAACAAATACATGATTTGGCCACAAAGTTACACATAACAACTCTGTGCTAGTTGATCCAGACTTGTCTAAAGGACATGAGCTGTGTCCACAGGTCATTAAGTGTCACAGAAGTCTTTGTCATGGTGTCCGTTGCTAGCTAAAACTGGTCTAACTGGTTCCCCCAGGTGTTTATGCCTCCTGTTGTTGGTCTGTGCTCACTAACTGTTGCTTTTGTTGTCGTAGATGCTATTTTAGTCCACAAATAAATGATTTGGCCACAAAGTTACACATAAAAACTCTGTTCTAATTTATTCCAGCTTGTGTAAAGGACACAAACTCTGTTCAGAGGCCATTAAGCATCACAGACGTCTTTTCCATGGTGTCCGTTGCTAGCTAAATCTGATCTAACTGGTTCCACCCACTGTTATTACCTCCTGTCGCTGGTCTCTGCTCACTAACTGTTGCTTTTCTTCTTGTAGCTTGGAATTTTAGTCAACAAATACATGATTTGGCCGCGAAGTTACACATAAAAACTCTGTCCTAGTTGATCCCGGCTTGTCTTAAACACATGAGCTCTGTCCAGAGGTCATTAAGCATCACGATGGTGCCCGTTGCTAGCTAAACCTGGTCTAACTGGTTCCCCCAGCTGTTTATGCCTCCTGTCGCTGGCCTCTGCTCACTGACTGTTGGTTTTGTTGCCGTAGCTCCGCAGGTCGGCTCGCTGTCTGGATTGAAACTCCTCTGCGGCTGACGAGGCGTCCCCCCCCACCCAGCAGCAGGAGACCCCCCGGGTACAAGGGGCTTCCCCAACAACCAAACCCAACCAACCCACCCACTCTCTGCCTCAGACATGCTCCTCTACCTCCCCTCCTACCCCCCCTCTCCTCTCCCCTCTGTTGACTGGACTTCTCTCTGGGTCACCATGAAATTCTGGTCCATGTCTTCAACCGAGCACACAGACCAAAAAGGACAAAAAAAAANAACAAACAACACATCAGTTATTCAAGAAAATAACCAACCGATTAATATGAAAGTCAGCCTATCAAATGACTCGGGGACAACAATCTAGGCTGGGATGTGAGATTGGCTCACTGTATAGGATTTAAAGCGGCCTTTTAGCAGAAATTGAATGTTTTAATTAGTGTTTAATCACTAGAGGGCGGCGATAGTGCTCGTACTTAACGTACAAAGAGAGCGGATCGAAGTTTGTTCAGGTTTAATGGCAAAAAAATGCACCAAAATGGCACCTTAAATTCAAAATGGTGGCCATCCTGTTTGACTTTGGGTATGACTCCGAGGATGCATCGACGGACTAAACTTGGTACATGTCAGTGAAATCTGATGTCTTTTCTTTGGTGTGTGCACAGTTTACTGCACCTTCAACCCCTTTAATGATAATAATGAGGTCCTACAGATGCAGGAGGGCCTCTGCGCTGCTCGAGCCCAATGAGCAGCCTGACATTTATCCTGATTAATGATCACGTCGAGGCAAACAGACCATCTCAAAGGTCACAAGCTGTAAAGGCCAGAAATCTGAGTCCATTTAGGTCCATCAGCCGACACGTTTCCTCCCCGAGCGTCCTCGAGTTTCCCTCTGACCTGCTCACCTGCTGGGATTTACGTAAGCCTCCGCTGGGATTAGATAATAACAATGTCCTTCTGTCTCCCCGTTTGACCTCAGAGGTCGTTCAGATCGTTTGCAAACGACGACCGCCATGTCATGGCCAAGCACGCCAGCGTTTATCCAGCACCGGAGGAGCTGGAGGCCGTCCAGACGCTGGTGTCCACCGTGGAGGGAGCCCTGAAGAAGGTCTCCGACTGGATGGACGGCCTCAACAAACCCTCAGGGAAGACGTCCGCCGCCAACGAAGCTGCAGACAACACAAAGGAAGAAGACGCTGCCGAGACAAAGTACGTCTAGCTACTTGTTTTTATGTTTCATATCTTGTTTTTATTGGGGTGCAGCAGATTCATTACGCATAAAACCTGACAAATCTGACAGAAGGTCCGACCAGACCTCCATCAGAACCAGTAGAACAGTAACTTTAGTTTATTTAATGAAGCCAAGCAGAGTTTTACCTTCATACTACGAATGTTTTCACAGTTATAGGCCCTTAAAATACACAAATTTCTCATTTTTTAATGGATTTTTTCCATCATTTCTAAGCCTCAGAACTTCATCAGTCCAGCAGACAGACACATGACATGTTAGGATTAAGAACACATCTGAGTTCTGGTAGAAACTGACACCAGATCAGTTGCTTAAAGCAAGCTATAGCTGAGAGGCTGATCTTCTCGCTTTGTGTTGCTTCCTTCCTTTTCTCTGACTTCAAGTCATTTTGGACAGTTTTTGTGTCATTTTGAACAAGTTTCAAGAGACTTTGGAAAAGTTTGAAATTGTTTAGGATGAGTTGTGAGTTATTTTGGAGAAGTTTCAAGATATTTCCAACAAGTCTTGAATCTTTTTGGACACGATTTAAGTCATTTTTTTCATTTTGGACAAATTTGGAACAGATTTTTAAGACATTTTGGACACATTTTGAATTGTTTAGAGCAGGGTTTGAGTAATTTTGGACACATTGTTTTGCCATTTCAACAAATTACAAGACATTTTGGGCAAGTTTTGAATGATCATGGACATTGTTCGAGTCGCTTCATCAGTACAGCAGACAGACACATGGCATTTTAGAATGAAGAACACATCTGAGAAAATGAACAGAAACTTGATGTTTTCTTCAGACTGTGACTCCTGGATGGATGTAAAACTGATCTGGTGTCAGTTTCTACCAGAACTCAAATGTGTTTCTCATCCTAACATGTCATGTGTCTGTCTGCTGCACTGATGAAATTCTGAGGCTCAGAAATGATGGAAAATGTCCAATAAAAAGTGATAAATCTGGATCTTTGAGGGCCTGTAGCTCTGAAAATATTCACAGTTTTAATGTAAAACTTCATTAAATACACTAAAGTGTAGATAAAACACAGCTGATGGTGAGGAGGTCGGGGGGAACCTCTGATTAATTGTTCCTGGACCGATCCGGTGTTTAATGACAGTCCAGTTCTACATTGGACTGCTTCATGTTTTCGCTGTGAACGATGAAGCGGATTTATCGCTTGTTCTGGTTTATTTTCGGCCGTTTGCTCCGCTCACCTCCTGATCGTTTCCCTCATAAACCCGCTCCGTCGTAGATCTTCTTCGGGGGCCGAGGTGTGATGATTGGATGATTAAACTCGCTCGACAAAGACTCGTAAATTCTCTGCGTTTGGCTTAAAGCCCGAACATCGGCGCAGGTTCTGCATCAGCAAAGCGTTCCCGGGCAGATATAGTGCCGAAGCAGGTTTCTGCAAATAGAAGAGCGGGAGGAAAATCTGCTGGATCAAATTATTTCTTATCCAGAATGTATTTACGGCTCCAACACCTGAGTGAACAAACCAGGCTGCGTGATCTTAAACCTCTGAGCTCTGAGGAGTTTCTGGGCATTTTAAAGAATCTTTTATTTGTTCCCATCGTATGTTTCTCTGCAATATAAAGTCCTGCACCTCAGTGGAAACAGAATGAAGCAGGACAAAGAACTCAGAAATGTCTGTTGTGCAATATAAGATAGTCAGAACAGCATAAATCATAAAACCGGGAAAAAAAACTTGAATGAATATTTTGATTATTTATTCTACAAAAGTTTTGAAAAATGGTATAAATGTGTCCAACATTTTGTTAAAGAGCCTTCCAATGTTATCAGTGAACTAAAAATGCGGTTCCACATGCTGCAGACATTTAACTATTTCTTTTTTCAACTTATTTCCATGCTTGTCGTCTGCAGTTCAATAATAATAATAATTGATCAGATTTATATAGCGCTTTTCTAGACACTCAAAGACGCTCAACACTGTCAGTTATTCATTCACACACATTCATTCTGGTGGTGGTAGCTACGACTGTAGCCACAGCTGCCCTGGGGCAGACTGACAGAGGCGTGGCTGCCATTCTGCCCCTCCGAGCACCACCTCAAACAATCCATTCATACGCATTCACACCAGGCAAGGACACAACGACCATGAAACAGGTTACAGGGCGGAATCGAACTGCCGACCTTCCGATCATCGACCGACTCGCTCTACCACCTGAGCCACACAGTTCAACCGAGGAGCTTCTAAATTTTTGTCATGCAACCGTTAGTTACAGCAGAGTCACTGATGGCTTCACTTTTGGGCCTCAAGTTGTCAACTTTTTTGTTTTTTACAGAATCTAACTACAGTAAACAACCTATTTTTGGCGGTTTTTTTTTCTTTTTTTTAAAGCGAGACATATAGAATAAAGTGAACTTATTTAACCATGTAAAGGCTCATCACACCAGCTGAAACTTTTCTGTCTGTTTTTTCCGTACTTCCAGCTCTGATAGCTGATAATTAACTTATTTTTAGCCATTTTTGTAAAGTGGTTTTTGCAACCTGTCAGCAGAATGAAAAAATAAATACATTTTTGTTTTTGGGGTCCATGTATGTTCTGTTTAAAATTATGTTTTAAACACTTTAATGCAGATATTTGCCTCTAAAAGTCAGAGCAGGTTGAACATCGCTAAAAGTAGGCGATGAAAATATGTGAAAATATCTGCAGTTGTAGCTCAGATGTGTTTAAAACAAGACAGATGATTCAGGTTTATAATAATAAATAAATCAACGAGAGAAAATGAAATTAAAACTCAAGTAAAATCAGCAAAAGCTTTCAGATGAAAGTAGGTTTTACTGCAGAGCGTCTCCTGCTTTCTGCCTAAAGTGTTTTTCTAACAAACTCCTGCTCACTAAACAGTTGAATCAGGTTTTTATTCACTGAATTGGGTTTTTAAATGCTAATTTTATGGCTTTTCTGTTTTCTTTTCTGCAGCCTGTTGAAGGACTTTGTGAAAATAAAGTTTATTATTGTTGTAAAGTTTTAGCTCAGATGAGTTTAAAGGAAGAAACACATTGCAGAAATGATTCAGGTTTAAATAATAAAGAAAATAACTAACTGCTAATAAAAACTCAAGGCTCCTCATGAAGCTCTTGATTTTACTTGACTTTAAATTCCTTTTGAACTGTCGTTTTTTTCTCTTTTCTTTTTGTTTTAACCTTTTCAACACCATCTTTGCATGCTGACAGCCTGCTTAAATCTGGTTTTTATGCCTAATATGTGATCATTTTATGTTTTTTCTGTGTTACTCTGCAGCCTTTTGTGATAAAAGAGTTTAATACTGTTCTAAACAACCCACAGCAGCTCAGCCAGAGCCGCTCACAGGCTGCAGATTGTGTGTTTTCGGCCTGTCTAAACCTTCCCTGGCTGTCCTCCATGTCCCTCCGTCAGGCCCGGTGCTGCCTCGGTGCTGTGCGGGGTGACGCGTGTCGGCCTGGTGGCCAAGGGCCTGCTGATCAAAGGCGACATGGACCTGGAGCTGGTTCTGATGTGCAGGGAGAAGCCCACCAAACTACTGCTGTACACCGTCAGCGCCAACCTGCCGCTGCAGATCCAGGTAGGACAACCGAGTCACTCTACATCCAAAACGAGGCTTTAAACACGGCGAGGCGAGCTTCACGGCGGAAAAACACTCGTCCGCCGAGGACGAGCAGAAGTTGTTGATGTGCGATGAAAGCTCAGGAGTTTGTGCGGTGACATTGAGACGAGCCGACACCCCGAGGAGCCGCGACATGATGGAAATAATAAGAATAAAATAGTCAGAGCAGCAGCTCCGACTCCTGCAGCAGATGCCAGAATATATAAACAGCAGCTTATACGCATACAAGCAGCACAGCGTTGGTCGAATGCATCAAGAGTTGAGCTTTTCAGAGTCCAGAACACACACTGTGATGCTTTCAGTGCAGAAAACTAATCAGTCTCACAGGAATCAGAAATTGATTGTATTAAATTATATATCTGAATTTTTTTAAAGTCTGAATTCAGCTCATCAAAAGTTCCAATAACGTATTTTCACTTTCGTTGAAACTGAACAACTTTCAAAATTTTCAGAATCTGGTGAGACCGATTAGCTTCCGTAGAAAACACCGTATTTTCAAAATTTAAAAAAAAAAGAAGCCATAAAGAAAACATTTGATTCTGTCAGATGTCGTTAAAAGAGCTGAAGATGTTGCTCATCACGTTTGGAGATGAGAAAGTTTTGCTGTGAAGGCAAACTACAGATTTTTAATGAAATAGATTATATACGTATCATCTGTAAGTCCAGTTACATACTGCGTCATGTTTGGATCAAAGTTGACTTGTTTGTGATTTGCAACCTAAAACTAAGTTCTGTAAAATATTATGTCTGCGTTTTGAGAATTTCTCACGTTTTCACCCTAAAAAAAGTCCAATTCTACTGATGTTAGAGCCTCAAAAGATGGAGGTGTGTCAGAAAAGTTCCAGGATTGGTGTCATAAAAGATAGATTTCAAACCCAAACTGTAAACTACGAGACCATCAACCAGCTCGTCTACAAAGAGATCCTGCAGCGTTTGCTTCGTCCAGAGTTGTGGCAGGACAAGTCGTGGCTGCTTCACCATGACAACGCGCCTGCTCACGACACCCTGAGCATCCCACAGTTCCTGGATGAGAAGAACATCTCCGTGCTGGAGCAACCTCCCTACTTACCCCGCCTGGCTCCGTGGGGTTGTTTCCTCTTCCCCAAACTCAAAGGGGTCATCAAGGGGACCCGTTTAGAAGACGTGGACGACACCAAGATGGCTGTGACGACGGAGCTGCGGAGGATCCTGGAAGAATCCTTCCAGGACTGTATGGTGGCGTGTCAGTGAAGGCTGGGGAAGTGTGTTGGACTCCAGGGGGATTACTGCGAGGGGAAAACTTGTAATTTGTATTTGAAATATATCTTTTGTGACTCCAGTCCTGCAACTTATCTGACACACCTCATATGGGTCCAACCATATATGTACACTTACAGGAAGTTTATGGGCCTTAATACCACCACAAAATATTAATTCTTGTCAATTTGGGGTCATTTTGGACAATCCTTATCTTACTTTGAGCAAATCTTTGGTGAGTCTGGATGATTCTGCGTCATCCTGGACAAACATTTAGTCATTTTGGCCAAATTGTGAGCCGTCTTGGACAGATTTCTTGCCAAAATACTGCTGGAAACTCTTCTGTCTGTGTCCTCACCACATTTCAAGATTGTTGGAGTTAAATTTCTGGAGGCATTGGAGACTTAAAGTGGTTTTCTGGGTGAAACATTTCTTTGAGGGTGAAAATAGGGAAAATTTCAGGTGTGAAAACATATAAAATTATAAAATTTCAGCCAAAATATGTGACAGAATTTAGTTTTCAGTCCCAAATACCAGATAAAAATGACACTGCTGTCAGTGAGCTCGCGGGCTTGTTGTTGTCGTATCTGATTGAAACAACAAAGAAAAGCCGAGTGAGTCCCGGCGGTCCGAAGCGTGGGGGGAAATACTCCACCTCAGACAAATCAAGTGTGGTCTCATCAGCAGCAGCACATCAGCTCCACTTCACATCACCTCCTCTCCTGCCAACTAAAAACACTCCTTTCATCTGCGTTAAAAGAAGAAGAAACACCTCGGCCCTCTCCACGGCGTCTCGGCTCCATTCAGGCTGCAGCTTTGTGCTGGTAATGACTTTAAAACAGCTCAACCCAGCGCTGAATTCATTAGGACGCCGGGAAACATCGCTACCGCAGGATCTAATGCATGCAGTATCTGTACTCCTATCAATAGTACCCTCCAGACTACTAACACTGTCATTCACTGCAGTTTAATTAATGCATTTTCTGTTTGATACACTGGACTTTGTTTGGATTCTAATTTTTCTATTGACACGTACTACGGCAAAAAAAAAAAAGAAGAAAAAGAAACACATTAAATTCTCTAAATTCAGCCCAAGTGTTTGACAGACTCCTAAATGGCTCCTAAATAACAAATACGTCACTATTTTGTAAAAATACATAAAAACTGGAACCTTAAATTGATGTTAGAGCCTCAACAGTTGGTGAAATGTCGACCAAAGACTGTATTTTAGTAGAAAAATGGATCCATCCATATATAGACACTTAGAGGAACTTTCTAGGGCCATAATAGCACTCTTAGCTGAAATATTAAACTTTTTTCCCCCCCATTTTTAAGGGCTACTAATGAAAGATGTGGCCCAAATTACTCAAAAAATGTCTAAGAACTTAGAATTAGTCCAAATTGACCCACAAATGCCCAAAAATGACACACAAAAAAATGTCCAAAACAACTTAAATTCCATCCAAATTGATCCGAAATTGTCCAAATGGAATAATATTAGCATCGCTGTGCATCAAAATGTCTAAAAACTGGAACCTTGTCTTGTCAAACCTTCCCCACATCAGATTCTACTGATGTTAGAGCCTCAGCAGTTGATGAAATGTCGACCAAAGATTGTATTTTAGTAGAAATATGGATCCATCCATAGATAGACACTTAGAGAAACTTTCTGGGAACACAGTACCAACCGTTATGCTTTTTTTTTTTAAGGTCGAATAGTTAAATTTGTTCTTTGCTGGAGCCGTTTGATCATCTAGATCTGTGTCCTCACCAACTTTTATAGCTGGAGTTATATTTATATTGGGATTTATATTTTACGGAATTTTGAACCTTCAAAATGGCTTCCTGCTTAAGATGTTTTGGGGTTGTTGTTTTTTTCTTTGAGAGTGAAAATAGAAAAATTCCAGCTCTGTCAACATCGGAAATTCTCAAAATTCTGGCAAAAGATATTTCACAAAACATAATTTTGGATCCCAAAATCCCACCTTCATTTGAAATGTTGCCTTTTTTTTTTCATTTAAAGTGCCAATAATTAAAAACTTTGGCCTCTTTTGGAGCCTTTCAATCATTTAGATCTACTGTCTGCATTGTCACCAAAGCAGGAGTTAGACTTCTGGAGATATTAAACTCTGAAAATACCAAAAATTCTCACTCATGAAATTCTCTAAATGCTGCCTAAATATCTTACAGACGTTAGTTTTTGTCGATAAATAATAAGAAGTGAACCTGGAACTAAATCTGAAAAATTCATCTTGCTCATTTTCAGACATTATTTTTGGTTTTGAGGTTTTTTGTGTTGTGTATTTGTATTTTTTCTTTTTGCCTTTATGATACTTTAATAAGCACATTATTCAGATGTGTTATGAGAAATGTGAGCAGGAAAAGCTTAACAAAAGCAACAATTCTACAAAGATTTAACTCGAAACGTGTAAAAGTTGTGCATGAATCCGGCCTGTTGCCTCTCAGGGTTTCTATTTTAACTACATTTGTCAGCTGTTTTCTGACTCAAATAGCTTTTCGACAGAGCAGCAGGTAGCATCCACTCAGGCTTTATTTTACACCTGAAGCCCAGACTGAGGTATAATGTTACCTCTACGCTCCAACAACCCTGAGGTGAGTTTTAACATCCCGCCTCAAAGTCTGAGTTAAATAAATAATCTCACCAGAGGATCGTCTTCTTCACGTGGGTCTCCGGCTAATGCTACCTCAGCGTGCATCCCGCGGCCCTCGTCTCCGTTAATTACCTGCCGTAGCCGCCGTTCGTGCTTCATCATCAAGGGAGGAAGCCGTTTGAAGCTCTCATTTCCTGGGCCAAGCCGGCAGAGATTGACAGGCGGCGGGGTGATGGATGGGGTCATTTCTCGCCGAGACGAGATAGAGAGGATTGCACTTGAAAACATGCCACTGAAGGTAGCGCGGATCTGGAGGAGAAAAAAAACAAGATAGTTTGGCATGCTGGGAATTGGCTGGCAATAACAACAGGGGTGTAGACTGGATGAAATGAGGAGGAAAGCTGCATGTAAACACCACTGTTTGGGCCTTTTTTGCTGCTTTCATCGGACTGTTCAGTGCTGAGAGCAAAAAAATAATGCTGTGTTTTGGAGTTTTCTTTTTCTCTTTTTCACAATTATTTCTCACGGCACCTGTATGCAAACCCATAGATGATGAAACAAAACCCACTACTCAGTCTCAATAACAGTGGCACAAACAAAAAAGTCTCATCAACATTAAGACCTGCAACATAATGACTCATATACCTCACTAATCCATCAGTGCAACAACAGAGTGATGCCATGTCCTTCTCTTTTTTTTTTTTTTTAACAAATTCACTCATTAGTCTCTAATCCTGTCTGTTTTGGGGTTTTTTCCGGTGGTTATTAATAATGTAGGATCAATGAAAGCCAAGTTTCTAATTAAAATCCTGCCAGGAAAGGCAGCAATTGTGCCAAATGAGCTCCTTGAAACGCTTTAAACCCATGAAACCAAGCTGCAAATTCCAGGGCTGAAAACTGAAGCCAAGGCTGAAGTGCCAAAAACTGCAGTTCCGCAAACGCTCCACTAGAGGCTGCTCCAAAAGTCATAGACATCCATGTTAAAATGTCAAAGTTTACAGCAGGAAGAAAGTTGTTTATAGGCTGGTTCAAAAGCCTAGTTGGGTGTCTGTTGCTAAGCTACCTTTTTGTGGCAAATGTACAGGGGATGAGTTTTAAAATGACTCCCACGTTTGAACTACATTAAGTATTTGTACCGCTGCCTCAGCTTCATCCACCTCTTTGCTTATCCTTGGATTAGTCTAGAGTTAGTTAAATACACCGCCAGTTTCTCCTGGTTGAGTTGTGGTTACTGGTGATGAGTGGAAGTGACTGAGCAGGAATTCGGTCAGAATTACAACAGACCGACTGCTGTTTGGTTTATAGTGCAGCCAAACAGAAATTCTGTCTCTTTATTAAGGATGCCAAACAGCCAACTTCGTATTTGACTACTTCACAATAAAAGCTACATGCCTACCTGCCTACGTACCCCCCTACATGTGTAGCTGCCGAGGCATGTACCTACATCAAAATTACTTCCAGTCTTTTTAACCACCTATTTAGCTACCTACTTTCCATCTACATATCTGTTTATCTGTTTAGCTGCCTGCCTACCTACCTTCCAAACTAAGTTACTTATCAAGCTACCTCAGCACCTACATACCTACCTGTCCTGCCTACTTACTTTAGGTACTGTCTACCCACCAACTTACTTACCTAGGTATGTACCCAGTTATTATTTTACCTACTTACCTACCTACCATCCCATCTGCCAACCTGTCCACCTACCTACCTACCCACCATCCCATCTGCTTACCTGTGAATCTACCTACCTAACCGCCTACCAACCAACCTACCTACCTACCTAGCTATCTTTGTGTCTACCTACCTACTGTCCCATCTGCTTACCTGCATATCTACTTAGCTACCTACCTTTGTATCTACCTACCTAACTGCCTACCTACCTACCATCCCATCTGCCAACCTGTCCACCTACCTACCTACCATCCCATCTGCTTGCCTGTGAATCTACCTACCTAACCGCCAACCAACCAACCAACTTACCTATCGAGCTACCTTTGTACCTACCTACCTACCTACCTACCTACCTACCTACCTACCTACTGTCCCATCTGCCTACCTGCCCATCTACTTAGATATCTAAGCACCCACCCACCTACCTACATCCCTACATACCTAGTTACATACCCAGTTATCTTGGTATCTCCCTACTGTCCCATCAGCCTACCCATCCATCTACTTAGCTACCCAACCACCCACCCACCCATCTACCTCCCTATCTATCTAGTTACGTACCCAGTTACCTACCTACCTACCTACCTACCTACATACCTACCTACCTACCTACCTACCTACCAACCTACCCATTTATCCCACAAATAGGTTTAATTAAGTCTCATATCTCTAAACGGCATCAGAAAACAGCGAAATAAACACAATAAACAAACTCGAAGTATAACCAGACTGTGTTATCGTGCTAATGGAATTCATTTTGTGGAGTATTTACAGCAAATTAAAACAAGATCAATAAACTTCTTATTAGAATATGATGAACTGGAAAATTAAGAGTAGCAGCCTGTTTCAGAGAACAGTATGAGCCTCTCTGCGACTTAATCAACTGTATTTATGTGCATATCTTTTATATTATTCTCTCTGTATGACTGTTAAAGTGATTTTACACATTAGAGGACCTTGTTGAGTGAGCCTCATTCTTTACAGCCAGTGTTGTGATATTTTTAATTAATCGCGCAGCCCTGCCTTGCAGACAATGACGGACGACAAATACGAAGTGCGGTCGAGCGTTCCCGAGGCAGCCATCCAGGTGTGCAGCACCAAAGACCCTCAACTCACCCTGAAGATCATCTTATCCTCCTTAGCCATGAGGGAGGATCATGGCACCACAGAAGAAGAAGGTACCGACTCCTCCTCCCCTACTTGCCAAGTTTCTATTTGACTTTCACATGACAACAGAAGGCTGAAAAGGGGAACGTAGAGTTAGAAAAGTGCTGCGAAACCCGATCCAAAAAGTGGGAGGCAGTGTGGGGAGCAAATTGTGCAGGATGATACATGGAGAGGGCTGAAAGCTGAGAGGAGAACAGGGCAAAAAGGAGAAGGGATGATATGGATCTGGGTCAAGTGTGGTGGAAATAGCAGATGGCCGGGGAAGGATGATTTCCGCAGGGGGAAGTGTTGGGTTGGGATTGACGAAAAAGGAGACGCCTGTCTCAGGTGTCCGCTCGTATCATCCTGCAACTCCGAGAAGATTCAGTTGTTGTTCTTGGACAGATGCATTAAAAACAGACATTCCAGCAAAGTAATACCTCACAAACAACTCGGTTAACTTGCCCCCCGTCAGGTGTCTGTACTGTAAGTCAAGAGCTGACGTTTGCCGTTGGTGGTTTCACTTTGTTTGTTTTCCCCCCTAACAAATTAAAAATGAATAAAAGTCGAGTCGGGAACTGAAGAGCTGCCATTACAGAGCAGCGAGTCCCGTTGTGGTTTCCGCTCCCACTGGGAAAGATTGAGTCAAGCCTTCACAAAAGGTAGAAAAATGGATTCTGCCGAGCGGGAGAGAAGCTGCTCCGATGCACAGCTGTTGAGCGCAGAGTCACAACAAAGGGAGTCATTTTTCCTTCAGGTTCAACATCCTGTCAGCACAAACCAGGACACCGTTCTGTGTTTTTTCCTTTGTTCTCTTGTCTCGCTCGGGCTCGTTAGACGTTGTGAAATCCCGTAAACAAGATCGTCCCTCTAAGTCTCAGTTAGCAAGAGCAGGAGAAACTGTCCTGACAGGGTTTTGTACGCTCATAATTAGAATAAAATGATCTAAATAGACGACGACGGGGGAGTTCCCTTGGAGAAACACCTCGTTTAATGTAGCTCTGTGTTGCCTGGTCTGGGTTTCAGCAGCATTTTTCCACACTGCTATCGAATCTCCAACTGAATCTTTTTATTAGCGACTTACAAAAAAAGGTTTGAGCCCAGCGTTTCTTCAACCAGCTGAAATTATAAATGTGAAGTCAAACATTTAACTTGCCTCGTAGCTTAGCGAGCCCATATTCAGCTTTTTGTGTTCTTCCCTTTCCTTTAGCGTGTTGTATCGCTGCTTTTTGTGCATGTAAACGTTCAAAGTCGATGCCAAAGACAGTTATATCTCCCTGAAACACCTTCTTTAAAGTCCAGGCTTTTCCGTGAACAGCTTTGGAACGATACGGTTCATGTCCGCAGGATCCGTCATTTCTACACCGCACAATTAATGTCTGTTTAAACAGCCGTGTGGCGCATTTCGGTAGCGCTGCGCTGCGTTTCATTTGCATAAATTTGCAGTCTGGGCTGCTTCATGCAAGTCAGGAGCTTCTGGAAATGTGAAAACAAGCAGAATCGTGAGCTCGTAGGGTATCATTTATCATCTGTTTGTTCACTTCATGCCCGTGCGTCTTTGTTGTCGGGGAAACTACTTTGTGTTAGTGGAGTAACTTTCAATTAGCTCAGTGTGTTTGTGTAAAGGTTGCATGAGGTAGAAGGCTTTTTGTCTTTGGAAACTTTGACTCTTTCTTCATTTCTTGCATGGTGTGGACAGACGGTTAAACTAGTATGTATACTGATCAATGATAGGATTTCTGTCTGTTTGGTATTAAAGCTGGTACATTCTCCTTTGAGAATCTTGACAAACTTTACTATTCTACAGATTTTATACGATCTTGATCGTTGACTAGATCTTGTCTCGACTTTCATGGCTCCTCCTTTAACTGCCAGCTCTTAATGAAATTTCAGAAAGTGGAAATTGCAATCTGGAAGTGCTTTGATATCTTTTTATAGCCCTCCTCCTGTTTGTAGGCATTAATTAGCTTCATTTTCAGACCCCAGGGTTGTTAAGTGGTACCACAAGGTCTGAAGAGTCAGAGGATTTATCAGTTTAGGTTTAACAAGTTAATGCAGGTTTGGAACGAACTTTTGTTGTTTTTTACATACATGAAATACAAAGTTCAACATTTAAAGAAGGGCACTTTGATATCTGTTGTTTGTGTATTTACATCTTTACACCTGAAAAATCAACTAAATGTCCAGACAGCTGTATACTTTTATAATTATTTCTTCCTAAACATTGATCATAAAAATCAGAAATACGACCAAATCTTTGCTTAGAATCCTTTAACTGAAGTAAAACCAGCCTTTAAATCTTTAGCTGTTTGTCTCATGTTCAGGCTGTAGCTGCAGGTTATTAATTAACGAGGTGTTTCTTCCTTGTTTGGAAACTAAAGGTGACACGTGGGGTTTTCCTGAGCCAAACAAAGCATATTTTAACTGATCTGTATCTGTACAAACCTAATTCGATCCTTTGTTTAAGTCATAAAGGGAGGACACAATTAGTAGCAGGAAGTCTGGGAGGCAAATTTCAGCAGCGTTTCCAGTTCATAATTAATGAGTTGATAACATAAACTGAGCACCATGGATATATGCCCTGTGCTGCTGTTTCAGTCAGCAAATACATGTTTTGACTGCAAAGGTGGCGCTATTGCACACACGAACACTGTCCTAGTCTATCCTGGTTTGATTTAAACCTATTAGTGGTCATTAAGCATCACAGAAGTCTTTGTCATGGTGCCCGTTGCTCGCTAAAAGTTCACTGATAGATGTTATTAGTACTGTTGAAACCCAGCCCAATCGGTGCTGCCTGATGAGGGCTCTTCAGGGATGTTGAATGTGCTGAGTGATCCATACTGGTCTAACTGGTTCCCCCAGCTTTTTGTACCTCCTGTCGCTTGGGTCTGCTCACTAACTGTTGGTTTTCTTGTTGTAGCTTGGAATTTTAGTCAACAAATACATGATTTGGCCACAAAGTTACACATAACAACTCTGTGCTAGTTGATCCAGACTTGTCTAAAGGACATGAGCTGTGTCCACAGGTCATTAAGTGTCACAGAAGTCTTTGTCATGGTGTCCGTTGCTAGCTAAAACTGGTCTAACTGGTTCCCCCAGGTGTTTATGCCTCCTGTTGTTGGTCTGTGCTCACTAACTGTTGCTTTTGTTGTCGTAGATGCTATTTTAGTCCACAAATAAATGATTTGGCCACAAAGTTACACATAAAAACTCTGTTCTAATTTATTCCAGCTTGTGTAAAGGACACAAACTCTGTTCAGAGGCCATTAAGCATCACAGACGTCTTTTCCATGGTGTCCGTTGCTAGCTAAATCTGATCTAACTGGTTCCACCCACTGTTATTACCTCCTGTCGCTGGTCTCTGCTCACTAACTGTTGCTTTTCTTCTTGTAGCTTGGAATTTTAGTCAACAAATACATGATTTGGCCGCGAAGTTACACATAAAAACTCTGTCCTAGTTGATCCCGGCTTGTCTTAAACACATGAGCTCTGTCCAGAGGTCATTAAGCATCACGATGGTGCCCGTTGCTAGCTAAACCTGGTCTAACTGGTTCCCCCAGCTGTTTATGCCTCCTGTCGCTGGCCTCTGCTCACTGACTGTTGGTTTTGTTGCCGTAGCTCCGCAGGTCGGCTCGCTGTCTGGATTGAAACTCCTCTGCGGCTGACGAGGCGTCCCCCCCCACCCAGCAGCAGGAGACCCCCCGGGTACAAGGGGCTTCCCCAACAACCAAACCCAACCAACCCACCCACTCTCTGCCTCAGACATGCTCCTCTACCTCCCCTCCTACCCCCCCTCTCCTCTCCCCTCTGTTGACTGGACTTCTCTCTGGGTCACCATGAAATTCTGGTCCATGTCTTCAACCGAGCACACAGACCAAAAAGGACAAAAAAAAAGAAAAGAAAAAGAAAAAGAGACTACATTACCCAGCAGCCCAGCTCCTGTTTTTACTTTAACAACTCTCTCTTCTGATCAATTCTTCTATTGGCTCAGAACGACATCCCATAATTTCATGCTGGATAGACGTGTTAATTGAATTAATCTGATGTCCTGGTCACTAATCAAAATCCCCCCGAAGCTGATGATGTCGAGGAGACTTTATCGGGGGTTGTCCTTATCTGTATGTGGTCCTGACCCGGGACTGATGCTCCCTTCATGGCCTGCCTCTGGGAACCACCAGCCAGGAAAAAAACAAAACATAGAAATCTGTAAACAAATGCATAAATCCTGCTTTTTCACTGAAATGCTGCAAAAAAAAAAAACTCAAGCGCAGTTGCAGACATTTGCAATGAAATCCTCGTTTCTTTAGCCGCTCTGTTACGGAGTCTCGAGTGTGCCACCAGAATAACTGAGTGCTAACCGAACGGCCAGCTGGTCAATCAGCTGCTGCTGTCAGTCGCATCTAATTCAATTTGTAGACGGCGCTCCGTGTGCATGCGTTTAAATGACAGAGAATTATCTTCAAATGAAGGCTAATCGGAACATTTAGGACGAACGTCAAACCGAGAGACAAATTAGTCGTGAGATCGGGTGCAAAAAGCGATTTTTTTAACCTTAATTTCAAGGTTAATTGTGGAAAAAATGAGTAATTTACGTGTATGCGGAGTGCAGGTGGTGAAATGTGCGAAGGAAAGACCGGGATGAAGGGTAAAGTCTGTTTGGAGCTATAATTCAGAGAGACGCTGCCTCGGGTCTGTGCATCTGCAGAGACAATTAACGGTTTAATTAAATGATTGAGGAAAACGGATCATTTATTAATCGTCACGGTAAAGGTTCACCTGAGCTTAACAAATCAAGTAATTCTCTGTTTCATGTCAATTAAGTTCAACTGTTCACCATTTTCTGATATTTATGAACTAAACAAATAATTAAGGTTTGACAAAAATAATCAGGAGATGAGCTCAGTAATTGTTTTTAAACTAAATGTGGAATTTTAAGCTTAATATTTAATTTCTTATTTTAAAGTCAAAATAACTGAATGCTGCTTTTAATTTATTGTGTTTTCATGTGTTTTTTAGTTTTAAAAACATAGCATTTAAAGCCAAATAGCTGCATGCTGTCTTTTCCTTGATAAAGTTAATGACATCACTGGCCTGTTTGTGCTTTTATATTTAATAAATTCAACAGTTGGAGTTTTTATTTTAACCAATGTCAGGAAAAATAACTGCAAATTGTACATTTTAAGGAGATTTTTCTCTGTTTTCTGTCATTTACTGAATAAACAATTAGCTGAGGATGTAAATAAAACGAATCTTTTTTTACTTTTTTGAACACAAGCGTCTTTGAAATGATTAAACTCCTAATTCAGAATTCAGAGCAGCTGCTTTTAGTCAAATGTTTTTATATTATCATTTTGTTTTTTGTATTTTTACTTTTAAAGAGTTAAGAGAGTTTTAAAAAATGAAATAAAATCAACAGACTCGCCAACAATGACAATAATCCTTTTTGATTTTATGAAAATAATTTCCTTTAATTATTTAAACTCCTAATTCAGAACTCAGAGCAGAATGCTGCAGAGTTTAAATGTTTATTTTGTACTTTTAAATGAATGTATTATTATTAAAAATTGGCACACTTGCGACTCCGTAGTTTTGATTTAGTGTTTGTGATTCTTTATGTAGTTTCTCGTTTGTACAAAGACGATGAAGCCTCCAGATGCACCAACCAGCCAAAGACCTGCACCTAAAGTCTGCAGAATCACAGGCTGCTTAGTGGAGCTCTATTACCCAGCAGCCCCGGGGGCAGAACATGGAGGCCGTCAGTCCTGGTTAGTGGAGGAGCAGCGACACCGAACCTCGTGTCTCTCATCAGCTCCTTCGTTTGTCTTCCACCTCTTCATCCTGTTCAGCTTCACTTCGGTCTCTACGGCGACGGACTGCAGAACCACGCGCAGCGACTCTCGGCTGGCCGTCAAACCCAAATCTGATGTTTGGTTTCGCCTGAACGACCCAGAGCTTTTTAAACGCTCTGCAGAACATCTCCCCGATTCCATCTCTGCTGCTCCATGAGAGATCTTTAAACATCTGATAAGGATCTGATGTCAGCAGCGTGTGAAGGCTGAAGAGTAAAGACACGGTTTTAGACCATGTTCTGTGTCTGCAGCAGATTCTGGACCACGACTGTAGAAGTGAACTGAGTTAGTCGCCACGGCGCCACCTGGCAAAATGTTGACCGTTAAAGTACACAACTTATCGTTTTACAGGTTTAATCCTCACAAAAAACGACTTTCTGTCCAAATAGTTAAAGTTTCAAAAGTTTATTCCACCAATATGCCATTTTGTGTCCAAGTATTTAGTTTTCTAGCCACTAGTCCACCCAAAACAGTGCTGTCTAATGAACGAGCTACATTTTTAAAGGTTTATTCCACCCAAAATAGTACTTTCCAATGAACAAGTTAGAGGTTTAAATCCTAATTTACACCAAAATACTATTTGCTCTTCAACTAAATCATACTTTCTAAGAAAAAACGTGATTTAAAGTTTTGTTTTGCTTAAAATATTCCCATTTTATGTCCAAGGACTTGTAGTTTTAAAGGTTTTTTTGTACTCAAATCGTTTTCTTTACTGAACAAGTTGTTGGGTTTACCATTTTATTCCACCCAAAATACTATTTTCTGTTCAAGTACTTATAGATTAAGAGGGTTATTCCACCCCAAAAATAGCTTTCCGTCCTCATACTCATTGTTTTAAAGATTTATTCCAACCAAAATTACATTTTCTGTCCAAGTATTTATAGTATTCAAGGTTAATTATATTTAAATACTACTTGTTAACAAAAAAATCGAGGTTTTAAAGGTTTGTTCCACCAAAAATACCATTTTCTATCCAATTACTTACAATAATTGGAAGGTTTATTCCATGCAAACTGTTCTTTCTAACAAACAAGTTGTGCAATTTCATCCCCAAATGCTAATTTCTATCCAAATACTGATAGTTTCAAAGGTTTATTCCACCCAAATAGTACTTTCTAATTAAAAGTTCTAGGTTTAAAGATTTATTGCACCAAAAACTTCCCTTTGGAGGAAACAAGTATACGCCCCCAGAACAGAAAGTGCTACAGCTGTGGTCCTGAACCTGCAGCCTCCTCTGCTGCAGACTCTCTGAATCCAGGTCTTAGCCTTCCTGGCTGAGCTCAGCAACAAACCCGTGAGCCTTCGCCGTGCCTTGTGGTCTGCAGTCCGTTCCCCCTTTTGTTCGTCTGCTTGACCGTCCCACCGTGGACGCCCCTTAGCTGCTCCCGAGAACAGACAGCCTTCACTTTCTTTCCAGGGTGGCGTTCTCACTCTCAGATGTTTATGTTGTCGTTGTCATCTGCTGTCACTCTTCTTCTGCTGTCCTTCTCCCATGGCTCGGCCTTGGTCATGGCAGGAAGCTCCCCACAGGAACCCGGTGTGGAGAGACTGTTTCAGTCAAACATAAACATCTGACCAACCCCGCAAGAGTGAAAATACCAGCATGGCGCCCCACAAAACACTCCCTCCAAGTGGAATAGCTAATGCTACTGCTGCCCCAGTCTCAGGCACCGTTTCTGAGTCCTTGTTCCAAAGTGTGATCTCTAATCTGGCTGCTGGTCCTGAGTCGTCGCCATGCTCTCATTTTCGTCCTGCGCTGTAATTGATAACACACTAATCTGGCGTGTTCCATCGCCTCCAGCCACTGATCTGCATCTAGAGTGAGACTCCGGCCGGGCGGCATGCGCTCACGTCTCCTCCGGTTCCTCCTGTCAAGTCATGAACAGATCCTGCCTTGTGCATGAGAATCCCCATCCTTCTCCCAGAAATGAAAAAAATATATAAAATTACACAATCTCTCAAATTTCCCCCCTCCTCAGCTCATTCGGTCAGATCAGTGGGTTTGCTAATAAGTAGCTGTCCGACCCTGCTGCCTGTGTGTCTGTGCTGGATGGTGGGAGGCCAATGTGGTCACGCTCAGTCTGTCCCGTCTCGTCCAATCAGAGGAAGGCGACCGGGGCGGCGACAAGCAGCGGCGGGAGGACGAGGAGGAGGATGAAGACGAGGACGTCCTGGACCGGCAGCGGTGCCAGGCGGCGCTGGCTTCGCTCCGACACGCCAAATGGTTCCAGGTGAGCACAGCTGGGCTCCGACAGAACCGGTCCGGGCGCGTTTGTGTTCTGGCAGCGAGTCTCAACTTTAATATTCAACCACGTCTCTGAAAATCACATCAGTTTGCTTTAATGTGCAGCAGCAGTTGGGCTCCGACGGAAACTTTATGCCACCCAGATTCGTTTTTTTTATTCATTTAATTAAGGAATTATTCCATTTCTAATCGTCAGGGGCCTTCTGCTCAACCATCTCTGGTTTGCTCGAAACCTTTTTTCATCATAAACGATGGATATTTTAAATGGTATCTGGGAAATTCTAGCTTCATACATCAAATAGTTAGTGAGAGCTAATATTTGTCAACCAACTCTCAGCAAGGTGATTTGCACATTGAAACTTGAGGCTGTTAGTACAATATTTCAGGAACTTTTAAAGATTAAAACTTCTCGTTACGTCATTTATTCACAATATTGGACAAACAGATCCAATAATCCCTGATTATAGTTGAGTCACGTTACGTGTCTTTTAGCCATGAAAACACTGAACTAGTGCATCTCGGCTTCTTCTAAATACATCATTATCAACACAGAAGTCTCTGTCATGGTGCCCCTTTACTAGCTAAACTCCCACAATGCTCTCTGCTGCCAACATGAACTTCCTGTAGTCTGAGCGACGCCTCCTCTGGGCTCTACAGTGTTAAACAGTGAGAGGCTCCACCTGGTGGAACAATTAGGTACTACTATGAGTAGGTTGTAGCCAGTTGTAGTACTATTGACAGACTTTGTAAAGAAAGACACAACTATAATTTGTTCGGTAAACTCATCTTTTAAAAAAAATAATGAATAGATGTTTGATTTTATATATTTCATGTTTTCGCTGTGCTGACAATGTACTGAACCGTGATTTTTGTATTACACTCTGAGACATACCAGTCGTGGATTGAAGATTGCATTTCCTTGTGTTTATTTTCTGGAAGTTCAGTTAATTTTTCCTCCCGAAAGGTGATAAAATGTCACAGAAGTCTTTGTCATGGTGGCCAGATGCTAGCTCAACTCCCACAATGCTCTTTGCTTGCTAAAATTACCTGTCCATAGTCTAAATGACGCCTCCTCTGGTCTCTACAGTAATAAACAGTAAGAGGCTCCACCTAGTGGAACAACCAGGTACTACAGCTGATCTACAATAGTTGATGCCCGAAAATTGTTTTGACTTACTTTTGCAAATGTTACTTTAATATTAGTCGGTTGCAGCCAGTTACAGCAGTACTGACAGACTTCTAAAGAAAGACTCAACCATAATCTGTTCACTAAAGATGCATTTAGTAAAAGAAAAGAAAAAGAAATATTTAATCTTAAGTATTTCATGTTTATGCTACACTGAAAAGACGATTTTTTAGACGATGCTTTCGAACTGTAAAAGGGTTCGAGGAATGCAAATTATTGCAGACACATAATATTGCTGGTCAAAGGTCAAAAAGCGTCACACAAGTCTGTCATGGTGGTGTGTTGTTTGCTAAACATCTATAATGTAAAAAAACCCAAAACATAGCCATAGCTGCAGCGTTTAGTAAAAAAAAATGTTAAAAACAAAATATAATTCTATGTATTTTGTGTTTTCGCTGCACTGAAAACGTACTGAACAGAGATTTCTGTGTTCCAGGAGACCCTGAGACACACCAGGCGTGCATTGAATTAGCATTTTCTTGAAGTTCCATTAAAACTTTCTCTGCATTTAGATGTAAACTTAAACTAAAGAGTCCAACAGTGGAATGTGAAGGTCTCCAGAAGGATCATGAATTATTAGGGACGCGGCAGCAGAGTGTTTTTCGGTGCAGGCTGAAGAGAACAGCGTGACCGAGTGGGATGTAGCTCCGCTGGATTCGGGGTCACGGAGAGGTGCTCCACCAAATCAGGTTTCAGATGAGCTGCCCGAACTCGGAGGCCGAGTCAAGGTCAGGTGAAGCAGCGAGCAGCTCCCCTCGGGGAAGGAGAGCTAAATGCCAAGTAGCATCAGAGTGAAGGGCTGCTCGGAGGCCTGAAGGTGAAGCTGAGCGGAGTTAGATCGTGTTCAGACGAGCAACACAGCCGCGGTTTCGTAATAATAACTGCAGATACAATTAGTGACGTCTGCCTCTCAGTGAAATGACCCACTTTGTTTCTATGGACAGCCATCGTGCTCAAATGAAACCGTGGCTAATCCCCAGTGTCATTTATTTTATATTAACGTCCAGATGTAACCACCTCCTCATGGAACATCTCTCCTGATTAGTTCTTCAAACACTTTCTCTTAACTTTGGCAGAACCTTGAGCTACGTTACGCCTTCACTAAATGCGTACAGGGCTGCAGATGTTGGACCACATTTCTAGAAACCTTTTTTTTATATTTTTCTCTTCTGCCTGCCCTGAAAAATATTCAGCTGCTCTGTCCCTGATAATTCACCATCATTCTGAACTCATTAATTTACTTTTACATCTGAATGCAGACAATGTTTTAACTCAACTTCCAGAAAATCAACATAAGGAAATGCAAACTTCCATCCTCGACTCACAACCTACTAATAAAAAAGCAGAATTTACAGAAGTACGTCAAATGTTGGTTGTTGGATATAAAGAATTGTAAACGGGCCGTAGTACCTGGCTGTCCCACCAGCAGGATCCTCTGTAGCTAGCTGTGTCCCAACATCTTTGATTTTGTGGATATTTCCATCCATCCATTATCTATACACCGCTTAATGCTCATTGGGGTCATGGGGGGCTGGAGTCTATCCCAGCTGACTCAGGGTGAAGGCAGGGACACCTGGACAGGTCACCAGTCTATAACAGGGCTACACTTAGAGACAGACAACCAAGCACACTCACAGTCAAACCTACGAACAATTTAGAATCACCAATTAACCTCAACATTTTTCTGGACTGTGGGAGGAAGCCGGAGAACCTGGAGAGAACCCACGCTGCACGGGGAGAACATGCAAACTCCACGCAGAAATATCACAGGTGTCCTCACCGGGACGCGAACCAGCGACTTTCTTGCTGCGAGGCAACTGTGCTACCCACAGGGCCATCTTCCAGCCCTTGTGGATATTTATTTATTAGTCTTTTTGTGAACGTTAGTGATTAATGGTTATTCGATTGATTTTTTTAAATTCATAATTTAGCAATTGAAAAAAAATATATATATTTTAGGGCAAAGGAAAAAGGCCACGCATGTCAGAAAATGTGTTGTAAATTAGCTGCAGTACCTGGTTGTTCCACCAGCTGGAGCCTCTCACTGTTCAACACTGTAGAGACCAGAGGAGGCGTCACTCAGACTACAGGCGGTTCATGTTGGCAGCAGAGAGCATTGTGGGAGTTTGGCTAGTAAAGGGCACCATGACAGAGACTTCTGTGGCCATTAATGACCTCCGACGTGCAATATGTCTGCAATACAGGGGGCAGCAGATTTAGCTTAGATTTTCTACAATACTTATTTATTTTCAGCATCCATATCATTTCATCAGGTTTTAAAGGTTTATTCCACCAAAATACTGCTTTTTAACCAATAAGTTTAAGTTTCAAAGGTTCACGTGAGGTCTCAGCTGTAGGGTTTTCTGACCTTTTAAAGCTTTGCATGCAGAAGTCATAAATGTCTCAGCAGCAATTGGCTAAAAATCTACTTCCACAGTGGAGTGCAATAGGACATCATTCATATGTGCATGTCACACTCTGCTGTGAAGTATTTATCTATACACGAATAACAGTCTTGGAACAAGTGCTGGGGTTTTTGGTTGAATGTCTTCCTTCTTTTTTGTGAGGCTGAAAACGTTCTGAACGGCGGTCGCGAGAAAAATGAACTGATAAAGACCCGTAGATGATCCCTCACATGAATATTCAAGCAGGCGTCCTGGTTAATCAGATTTTGAAAAACCACTTTTCTGTCGTGTCATCAAAGGGTTTCTCTCACATTCTGTTGACAGTTTGCGTCGCCCAGAAACGAACAGCAAAACGTCATCTTCAGCGATCGGTTGCTGCTGGAACGATCCATTGTGGTCCACGGCGGGCTGGTTCCACATTTAACACGCTGGATATGCATATGCAGATATCTGTAATCTCATTCCTACGATCAAAACAAACAGTTCAGATCCCAACATCGTCATTCTTTCAGGACAAATAAGGTCACTTTGTTGGATTCTAGTTCGAGGTGTCTTTTCATTCCCCTGATTCAACGTCTACGTTTAGTTTCACCATGTTGCAGATATATGTAGTTGCGTTAGACGATGAAGGCGGTTTTCTTTACAAACAAACTACGTATGACAGCAACTCTGGATGCAAATTTACTTTCTGCATAAAAACACTTTCATTAAATTATTTACAGACCAACACCATGGAAGAACAACGTCGAAGGAAATGTTGGTGAAATCACACGTACTCCTCCACGAATCAAGGAGGTTAATAAGTTGGGCCTAAATGAACTCTAAATCACCATAAAAGCCAGTATTAGCAGCAGATTAAATCATTTTAAACTAGTTTATTTGTGCTGGAATTATGAGAACACGTTGTGGTGCAGAGCAACTGCACTGGTTTCTGAAAATATACCAACTATTGAGGAGTATAACGGACAAGTTAGCTGCTGTTTGCAAAGTTTAAATAACATTTTTTTGGTACAAAATTCAAAAACACCGGCGACTCCTTTGACACCAGATAGTCTGGAGCCGAGTAAATGTTCATTAAATAAGTTAGAATTTGCAGAATTCACTTCAGAGTTGTAAAAACATGCGTAGTCCATCATAAATAATGGTTTAATCTGACTTTTCTCCTCATGAAAGAAACACCTGAGAGCGTTCAACCAACCCGTCCATCTGGAGACTTAAACCGTTTGAGCATAAATGAGGACACGAGATGCTGAATTGAAGCTAGAACGATAGAAAGACTGCGCTTAATAGGATGAGTTTTACTCCACAGCTGTGCTCCTCTAAATCTGTTCAGTTAAAGATCAACTTGAGCCTCTCAGCAGCATGTTGAAACTTCAGGGGTCATACAAAAGTCTCCCAGAGTGCAGAAGTGTCAGACGCTTTGTGGATTTCGTGCTGCTTGCCATGCTGACTCGTGTCCGTCTGTCCCTTCAGGCCCGAGTCACGGACCTCAAGTCCTGCGTCATCGTCCTGCGGATTCTCAGAGACATGTGCAACCGGCTGCCCGTGTGGCAGCCTCTCAAAGGATGGGTAGGTGACGGCGAGAATCACAATGTGTACGAGTGTGTGTCCTTGAGAGCAGCTTATAGTTTCATTATCTCTGGTTCGGTTTGTGCTGAACATCCTCTTTACCGTCTGCAGCCTCTGGAGCTGATCTGTGAAAAGGCCATCGCCACCTGCAACCGGCCGCTGGGTCCAGGTGAGGCTCTGCGCCGAGTCATGGAGTGCATCGCCTCGGGGATCCTCCTACCAGGTCAGCGCACAGGCTGCATGTTGTTGTCGGTGTTTACTCTGCATTTTTATCTCCTCGCCGAACCGTAGGAGGCAGCAGGTCGACCAGAGCTACTTTAACTTTCAAAAGATAGAAAACACATGTCCAAAATGACTCAAACTTTGTCTAAAGTGACAATAAAATGGTCAACAATGACAAAAGCCTCTTCAGGTTGACTGGAAACTTGTCTGATATAGTGCAGAATGTGTCAAAAACTGCCCAAAATCCATCCAAAAAGACAAAAATGTGTCCAAAATGACTCAAAAATGTTTGAATTTAATATTAAATATGTTAAAACTGACTTCCAAACTCTCCAGAATTATTAAAAATGTGTCAAAATGGACAAAAAAAATTCCAAAATCATTTAAAAATTGTATGAAATGACAAAATCTTGACCCCATCAGGTCTAAAGATTCTCACATTAGTCCTACAAGGCCCAAAAGCTGCCCAGAAAGAAAACATGTGTCCAAAAGGACTCAAACTTTGTCTAGAATGACAATAAATGGTCAACAATGTCAAATCCCTGTTTAAACTGACTTGAAAGTTGTTCAGAACGTGTCAAAACGTACAAAAAAATGTATTTAGAATGACAAAACTGTCTGTTTGATGAATTCTGTTCCATTTTGGACACATTTGATCCATGTTGGACAGATTTTGGTCATTTGTAACATGTTTTAGTCATTTTGATGTGTTTTTGCCTTTTTTTAAACAAATGTTAGTAATTTTGGATGACATGTGAGGAGTTGTAGGCATACTTTTATCTATTCAGATGCATTTTGTTCCATTTTGGACCCGGTGGATTCATATTGGACAGATTTTGGTCATATTAACATGATTTTGTCATTCGTGTTTGGACATTGTTTCAGTAACATTGGAAAACATCTGAGTGACTGCAGGCATACGTTTGTCTTTAAAGATGGATTTTGTTCTATTTTAGACAGATTTGTTTCATGTTGGACATATTTTGGTCATTTTAAACATTTTTTTGTCATTTTTTAATGAGTTTTTACCATTTTGAACAAATGTCAAATAGTTTTGAACTATTTTTTAAAGTATTTTTGGACATTTCTTAAGTAATTTTGGATGATATCTGAGTAATTGTGGGCATACTTTTGTCTTTCTAGATGCATTTTGTTCCATTTTGGACACGTGTCATTCATGTTGGAAAGATTTAGGTCAATTTTAAGAAGTTAAATCATTCAGTCATCCATCATTAAATCATTTTAGATGCACATTTGTTGTTTTGGACGGACTTGAAGGCTTCATTAAATGTCAGAAAAAACTGAGTTGGGCATGTTTTGTGTGTTCTTTCTGGGTTTTCAGCTCCGTCTATAACGAGATGCTAATGTGTTGCTGCTGTAACCACCAGGAAGTCGCTCTCAGGTGTATTTTCTTCCACCTGTAACTCTTGTTTTCTTCGGTTCGATCGTCGAGCTGCAGCGAGTCGGTGCTCGTGATGATGTGATTGGATTTTTTAAACCCGAGCGCTGAAGGCGGGTTGTTTCCTGACGCTCTGAATCATTGATGAGCGAGCGCAGCGAGAGAGGGAAGCTTGTTTGTGTTGCACCTTTCAGAAAACCAGCTTTTACATAAGGCATGAAAGGCCTGCAGACGGCGGGAGGCGGTGACGGATCATTTCGGTTTGTTTTCTCTGTCGCTGTCTGTTTCCCAAAGAGGAACCTCTGACGTGGTTTGTTTTACTTCTCAGGAGGTCCAGGAGTTCACGACCCCTGCGAGAGGGAACCGACGGACGTCCTGAGCGGCCTGGAGGCCCAGCAGGCTGACGCCATCACACACAGCGCTCAGGTCAGCCAGCATTAAACAGAGCTTCATGTTCAGTCGGTCACCGGGGCTTCAGCACTGCAGAAAACAAGTCTGAACACAAAGAGTCCAAACAGACGTCGTTAGGTCTGGTTTTGTAGAAATGCAGCAAGTCAATTAAGCTTTGTTTGCAGTGCAATGTTGTGCCACAAGATGGCGACGGTGAGGCCTTAAAAATGCAAAAATCAGACTGAAATTTGTCACATTTTCGTCAACTGAGGCTTTAAAACTCAAAAAAGGTCTAAACTAGGGGTGGGACTGTAACACGTTAATTGTGATTAATTAATTACAATAGATATAACGAGTTTAAAAAGTTCATCGCTATCTGTAGCACATTTTCTAAACCCTCATCTGGTCTACAGTCCAGAGCAACCCATTTTGCAAGCGAATTTATGAGTTAGTCAGATGTCGACTTACTAATTTTGGCTCTGAATCCAGTCATTGGGTCCAGTGAGGGCTGCCGACGCTGCTTGCTTGTACTCGGACCAGGACTGCTAGCGCTAACTGCTCCGGCGGTTTCTGTGCTCGCTGCAACATGCTTCAGGTGGTACCGTCAGCTTGATGTGCTTTGGTGGGATACAAATTGTGGTTTGCACAAGCTGCACAAAACCACGCTCTTGTCAAGGCTTCCATCAGGCAGTTTTTTTAAAATGAAGCTTGCCTCCATCAGTCCAAGTGATGCGCTGTCATCGGATTCCTCCATGTTTGTTGTTGTTAGCGTAGCGTTGATGCATTTTTAACACGTTATTTTTGTTGCAATTAATTAATCGTAATTAATGTGTGTATATATATATTAGGGCTGCAGGGTGGCGCAGTTGGTAGCACTGTTGCCTCGCAGCAAGAAGGTTGCCGGTTCGCGTCCCGGTGGGGGCACCGGAATCTTTCTGCGTGGAGTCTCCATGTTCTCCCCGTGCAGCGTGGGTTCTCTCCAGGTTCTCCGGCTTCCTCCCACACAGTCCAAAAACATGTTGAGGTTAATTGGTGATTCTAAATTGTCTGTAGGTGTGAATGTGAGTGTGCTTGGTTGTCTGTCTCTCAGTGTAGCCCTGTGATAGACTGGTGACCTGTCCAGGGTGTCCCCTGCCTTCACCCTGAGTCAGCTGGGATAGACTCCAGCCCCCCATGACCCTAGTGAGGATTAAGTGGTGTATAGATAACGGATGGAACGACTAGTTCTGTTTTAAATAATGCGTGAAAGTCCCACCCTAGTATCAACACAACAACCTAGACTCCAAACAGGTGTCTTTAATGTGTAATGTTGCTTCACCTTCACGTTATAACCCAAAAGATTTCACTTTACTGTGACGTAGGAAGAAGAAATGCAGCATGTTTTGTAGTTAATAAAGTTTTATTTCCAGTACAATCTTGTGTCACAAAGATGGCGACGGCCTTAAAAACGCAAAAGTCAGACTACAATTTGTCACATTTTCATCAATTTAGGCTTTAAAATTAAAAACAAAAACAAAAAACAACGATCTAGGCTATTTTGCCGAAATGCAGCAAGTTTTGTTGCCAGTGAACTTTTGTTGGCCCCAGTCTGATCAAAGTTATTTATTATTCAGTGCAATCTTGTTTAACAAAGATGGCGAAGGTTGAGGCCTTAAAGATGCAAAGATCTGACTAAAATTCGTCAAATTAGGCTTCAAAACTCAAATGTCTAAACACAACAGCCTAGACTCCAAACAGGCGTCTTTAATGTGTAGTTTTGCAGAAATGCAGCAAGTTTTGTTGCCAATAAAGTTTTGTTGCCCCGATCTGATCAAAGCTATTTATTATTCAGTACAATCTTGTTTAGCAAAGATGACGACGTCTGTGTGGCCTTAAAAATGCAAAAACTAGACTAATAATTCTAAACAACCTAGAGTCCAAACAAGCGTCTTTAATGTGTGATTTTGCAGAAATGCAGCCAGTTTTGTTGCCAATAACATATTAATAATGTATTCACATTTACAAGACGTCGATAGCAGCGACTCCTGAATAAAACCACATGTAGGACTCCTGATGACGACCAAGGCGAGAGCTCAGAGGTGTGAATTCACCCTGGAAGCCGCCTCAGGCTCGGTGGGCTAACTGGTCCCAGAGGTGGACCGGAGTCGGTTTGAATTTATCACACGTGTGCTGAAGAGATACTGAAAGTGCAGCTCAGAGAGATTCTGTGCTGCCATCACTGACAGAACCTCAGAGTGAAGCTGTTGATTGTTCAGTGTTTTCAGAGGTTGTTTAGCAGCAGAGTTCTTCCCTGGAGGTAAATCGATGCTTCGTCTTTACGTTATAAAACTTCCCTCCTGCTCTCCTAAACCGGCGTGATCATGGAGAACACATGCGAGACCTGGAAGCCTCCCGCCGGGCTGCACCGACCTCAGCACTGCTCCTCCTTCAGGACGCTCCCCGGCTCACGGAGGTTATTTAGAGGAGTCCGGCGGAGCCCCGAGCCAACGTCAGCGCTATAAATAGCCTCCGAAGGCTCCGGCCTCAGAGCTGCAGCCTCATGAGCCGTCCAGCGAGCGTGGGAAAGATGCTGCTCGTGTGCACCCACTGCAGCAGCAACCGCTACTGCTGCTAATGCTGCTAACAATGCTAATGGTGCACAACAAAGTAGACACCAAGACATCCTCACATTGACCTCCATCTGTCTCTGGTGTCGGATTTTAATCAGGCTTTTGCCATTGTTGATTATTGTTTGTCCTTTTGGACAGTTTCAGAGTCATTTTGAACATTTTGGACACTTTTCGTTTGTTTGTTTCTTGTTTTTAACGTATTTTTTGTCATTTATGGAAAAATTTAAGTTATTTTGGACCAAATTAAGTCCTTTGGGACATGTTTTTTGTCATTTAGGACACATTTTGATTCAATTTGGACAGTTTTGGAGTCATTTTGAACATCTTTGCAGTCATTCTGAACATATTTCTGTCTTTCTGGACAACATTTAAGTAGTTTTGGACCTTTTTTTTTGTCATTTTTGGCAAATGGAGCCTTTATGGGGGGAATTTTGGACTAAAGTTTTTCTGGACACATTTTTTCTCTTTCAGGACAAGATTTTATAGTCATTTGGACAGATTTTTATTTCTTTTTGTGAGTTTGAGGCCATGTAGGATTATTCTGATTGCTTATTTTGAACAGCTTTAGAAACATGTAAGCATTTCTTGCAGTCATGTTGGTCAAATATTTGTGTCTCTGGACAGATTTTCCACCACATTGGACTATTTTAAGAAACGTCAGACATGTTTTGGTATTTCTGAACAAGATTTTGTCATTTTATACAACTTTCGAGTCATTTGGGGCAATTTTTGTCCTTTTTAGGCAAATTTTGAACAATTCTGAAGTCATTTTGAACATTTCCGCAGGCATTTTCAAAATTTTGGTCATTTTGGACATTTTTTTGTATAAATTCAGATACATTTGAACTTATTTTGGACAGTTTTCGAGTCATTTTAAGCTTTTTTGCTGCCATTCTAGCTAAATGTTTGTCTTCCTGGACAGATTTTCCACCGTCTAGGCCTATTTAAATATGTTTTGGTAGTTTTGAACAAGATTTTGTCGTTGTATACAACTTTAGAGTCATTTTAGGCATTTGTTTTTGTCCTTGTAGACAAATTTTGGATAATTTAAGAGTAATTTTGAACAGGTTTGTCTGTTTTGACCCATTCAAGCCATTCTTGATGTATATATGAGTCATTTTGGATATTTTCTTTGTCATTGTAGACACACTTTTGAGTTATTTTGGACACGTTTTTGTCTATCTGAACAAATATTTTGGCTATTTGGGAGAAATGTGAGAGCATATGGACATGTTTTGGTGAAATTAAATGAAGAACTAAACATTATTTTATTGTTTAGGCTGAAAGAACACGACCTGTATGAAGTGCAGTCGCTGCATTAAACGCTGCTAAACCTGATGGTGCAGCTGCAGCTATAATGTGATACTGATCCGCTGTAATAAGCAGTCGGTTGTTTCTTTATTTTGCTCTCTGGACGCAGATGAAATGAAGTCTGGGGATATGTTTCCTCGTGCGTTTGTGCTCGCTGAGTGTTGGCGCCTGGCCTCTATAATGTATGAAGTTTCTCCCCACAGAATTCACTGCTTCACACCGGCTTCCCTGATAATTAAAGCACATTGATCGTGGGATAAATGGGAGCCTGTTTGTTTTCTCCGCTCTCCTGTGAACGCAGCGGCGGTTCATCGTGATGTGGCCTTATTCTGTCTGCTGTATGTGTGTCTTTCAGCATGCGTTACGCCTCCTGGCCTTCGGACAGCTTTACAAGGTCTTGAATATGGATCCTCTGCCGGCCAACAAGCCTTCGCCGAGGCTGTTAGAAGGTGTGTGTTCGATATCCGCTCGTTTTCATGTACATCTGTGTTTCTGTCTGTATTTAGCTCACTTGTTGACTATATTTGGGTTTTTTTAAGCCCTTTGTGCACTTCACTGTGTAGAGAAATCCCTGAGCGTTATTAAGCTGCTTCATTCTTCTTCACTGTTGCCTCATTTTTTAGTGAAATATAAAATCCAACAAACACAACAACCATGAATAGAAGTACAGAGAACTCAGAAATATCCTTTGTTCAGTACGACACGGTTAAAGCGCAAAAAGAAAGAGCAAAAGTTGAATTTCTGTGATTATTAATTTTGTAAAAACCTGGACGTGTCCACAGCTGTTACTGGAAAACATGTCCTCTGTTTGCTATTTTAATTGTACTTTAGTTAACCACATTTGTTTTCATGCTTGTCTCCTGTCTGCTCTGTGTAAACACGGCCTGCAGTTCAACACCTCAGTCAGTAACGGCTTTTCAGGTGTGGTGAAGAGCTCTTTTTTTTTTTGTTTATTCTTTACAGAATCTTGTGAGTGGAAACAGTCTAATTTTGACAATAGTTAAACAAGACAAGCAGAAAAAAGTAATTTTGATGAAATATCACAATTTCAAGCTTAGATTTTCTTATTTTTTCCAACGACTTTAGAATTTTGTGAAATCAAAAAATGTATTTTTGACATTTTCTTTTTGTTTTGCACTGAGGAATGCAAAGTATTTTTTTTTAATTATTATTGTTCTTTTTTTTTTTTACTAAATTTTTTAAGAGCAAACTATATACCTTTATCTTTTTTTTTGCATTGAGAAATGCAAAATTTATTTCAATTTTTTAATTTTTTGTAAGAATTTTGTCAAGGCAAACTATTTTTTTTTGGCTTTGTTTTTACAGAATGTTTAGAGCAAACAATTATTTTTTTGCAATTTCTTGCACTGAGGAACGCAAAATCTATTTAAAAAATGTATTTATAGAAAATTTGTTTGTGCAAACAATTTATTTTTATTTATTGTTGATTTTTTTTCCAAATACGACATGTAGAATAAATTGATCTTCATGAAATATCACAACTTTGAGCTTAGATTTGTTGTTGTTTTTATTTCTAGCAGAACATCATGTCACAAATAATTACTTCAAAGGCTGCTGAAAGGTCTAAAAACGAAGCATTTTCTCTATTTTTATGGTTTCTTACTCTGATAAATGTTGTAATTTTGGTGTTTTTTTTAAAGACAACAACACCTGTCTCACCCACCGGCAGGTTTCAGGTTAATAACAGTAGCTACATGTCTGTTTGTTTCTCTGCAGGCGGCTGTCAGAAGAGGCTTCGGGACGACGTCGGCTCAGACGACAGAGACTTCATCAAAAGGATGAAAGGTGACTTTGACCGCCGACTCGTTTGTTCCACAGAATCGTCGCAGTTTGCTCAAAAGGAAACGTTGCAGCAGAAACCTGAAGGCTGATCGGATCGGTCGAGTTCAGCTTAAACCAGGGCTGGAAGTGGAAGCAAGCAGCTGTCAGATGTGTTCAGTTCTGATAAGCTCATCTCTAAACACGCGACAGAAAAAACAAATGCAGATGTTCTTTAGTACAACAGCTGCAGATGTTGGTGTGTGATGATGAAGGAGGGAAATCATTTCTAGAAGAAGTCGTCCCTGGATCAGGACGATGTATTTGTGTGTTTAGTATGACTCCACATGTGATCATTAGTGTTTACGGGTGTTTCTTGGTTTAGTTTTTGGCTTCTCTCTTTTCTACTTTCTGAGCTACAAACATTTTATCATGGCTGTCCTGAGTAAACAATGACTCCTATAACGCTTAATTTTCCATGATGGAATCACTGAAACTCGTCCATTTCTGTCACAAAGAACAATTGTGCGTTTTGGTTATTTTATCGATTTATTAAATGTCTTCTGGAAATATTGGTCAAAAATTTACATACAGAAACTTTTATGATCAGTTTTGGTGATGTAGAAAGTTATGTTAATCAAATGTTCTTAGTTTCATGGCCTCCTAACTTCTCCTGAGTGATTCTGACTGACTACAGCTGCTGACTCCTCTGATCCAGTTTAGACAGAACCATCTGATCCACTCGTTAGACTCAAACTCTACAGTGGGAAAGTCTGAGGAGCTCAGCAAAGATCAGGAAAAGCAAATCATTGATTTGAACAAGTCACAAAGTCACTTTCAGAGCAGCTTCAGATCCCAGAACCATCAGTCTGTCAGTAGTTTATGGTCCAGTTGTGTTACTGCCACCATCAGGAAGAAAACACAAACTACCAGCTGCTGCTGAGAGATGATTGGTCAGGATGGTCAAGAGTCAACCAGGAACCAGCAGAAAGCAGCTCTGGAGGAATCAGAAGCTGCTGGAACACAGCTGTCAGTGTCCACAGGGTTTGACATCAACATGAGCTGAGAGGCTGATGAAGAAGGAAGTTCTTCCTCCAGAAGCAGAACCTTAAAGCTCCACTGAAGTCTGATCAGATGGACAAAGAAAAGGCCTTCTGGAGGAAAGTTCTGGTCAGATGGAACAAACACTGAGCAGAACCATGTCTGGAGGAGAGAAGGTGAGACCTTTAACCCCAAGAACACCAGACCTTCCATCAGGCATGGAGGTGGCAGCATCATGCTCTGGTTCTGTTCTGCTGTCAGTGGAACTGCAGCTTTACACAAAGTAAAAGGAATTTACTTTTTTCCATCTTCAATCATCAGCAGAAGGTTGATGTTGGACACAGTTGGATGTTTCAACAAGACAATGAGCCCAAACACATCAAAGTGGTGAAGAAATGGTTCAGTCAGGCTGGAATGAAGGTTCTAGACTCAAACCCATCAAGAACCTGTGGACTGATGAAGAAACAAGTCTGAGTCATCGTACGTATCATCGTTACTATATGTATGGCTTTGAGCCAACAGATTTCGTCCTATTTCCAGAAGACCTTTAGTAAATCTACAGGACTGTTTTTGTGACTCATGTTTCAGTGACTCCAGCTGAGGAGCTGCTCCACACTGCCTTCACAAATGGATGGAAACTTTGGTCCACACCTATAAATATAAAAGTTTTGTGAACATGTACGCCGCTGTAACACGACGATACGTGGTTTCACAGCCGAGGAAGGAGGCAGCAGTTATTTCCTCCTGCTGTCGATGACCAGCAGAACGACCTCATTCGCACCGAAAAGCAATCTCGCGGCGATGTGCATATTTGAATGGCAATCAGCGAGGTGATGAATGACGTTGTGTTGCGTCGCGGCAGTTTGACAACCCGCATTTGTTAGAGCGGAACGGGGAGCAGAGTTTATTGACGCGCCGCTGATGTGTTGGTTTGTTGCAGACGTCTTGAGTCCGGTTCGTGTCCCCTCAGTGCTTTTAAACCATCCGGACTCACGGCAGGTTCTGGAGGGGTTTTGTTCTTTGCTCCCGACACATTTTTACTCACAGTGGGGTCGTTTTTCACTGAAACATGAAGTCCTGCAGCTCCACAGGAGCAGAACAACATGAAGAAGGAGAGGCAGTCAGAAATTACAGTTAGAAGCATATAAATCACAAAAAAGATGAATTTTTCCAAGTGGCTCCAGATTTTACCGATAAAGGCAGAAACATGGAGGCTCCACATAATACAGATATTTACTTCTACACACTCTGCTCAGTCCTAGAACCATGTTTCACCATTCTGAGTGTATCTTCAGCTACTTGATGACAACTTGTGGTTGCTTTGTTGTTTATGTCTTATTTTCTGTTGAGTTTGTGTCATTTTGTGTCTTCTTTGTGTCGGTTTTTCTCTCTTTTGGACAGTTTTGTCTCCTTCCTGTTGTTTTGTGTCTCGTTTTGGTCGTTTTGTGTCTTGTTTTTGTTGTTTTGGCTGTTTTGTGTCTCGTTTTTCTTATTATGTGTCTTGTTTTTGTTGTTTTGTGTCTATTTTGTGTCTCTTTGTGGTCGTTTTCTATCTGTTTGTGGTCTTTCTGTGTCTATTTGTGGTCATTTTCTATGAGTTTGTGGGTTATTTTTGTCAATTTGTGTTTTTTTGGATCCGTTTGTGGTCATTTTGTGTCTATTTGTGGTCATTTTGTCTCTATTTGTGGCCATTTTTTGACAATTTGTGGTCATTTTTTGTCTATTTGGGATCACTTTGTGTCTCTGTGGTCATTTTGTATCAGTTTGTAGTCATTTTGTGGTCATTTTGTGTCTCTTTGTCAAC